CAGCACAGATTTCGACCTTTGGAACTGTCCAGGAGTGTGAGAGTCTGCCCTCAAAAGACGTTGTAAAGATCAAACAGTGATCATTAAAGTTGCAAAAGTGAAGTTGTGTTTCATTATTTTCAGACATAAATTAAAGAGAAAAGAAACGACACTCAGTGGGGCTCACATTACAACGAGTTTAGTACCTAGACGAGATCATTACAGGCACTTTGATTAATCCAAATTTTGTAATTTGCAACATTTCTTTTTCGTATCTTTTTCCTTCTGCCTTCTGGCACTATGCTATCTACATACCCTCTCAAAGTGCAATAATGGCGACACAAATTCATGGAGATTGTGGCCACTAAGATCCAAAATAGACCAAAAACCAACCCACAACGATAGGCCAGCTATAGGTACAAACAATTAACAAGACAAAAACAGAGTTTTTCTTCCCCCCAACTAGTAATCAAATTCCGGATTTTGTTGTCCTTTCTTCGATGTTAATAACTGTCCAAAGGGCTCAGTCAGGCATTAACCCAAATTGTGAACAAAAAATCGACAAAAACCCAAACTTTTTATATGCATTAAAGACAAAATATCTCAACAAAATGTCTAATGTTACACATATTTGTGTTTTTTTTATATATAGTACACAAAACTATGCTTGCTCTAACTGAATTACACCTCGTGGGAAGCCAAATTAAACATTCTTCCCCTAACAGGCTTTTTCCATACTTTTAAAATAGACTTACCAAACTACATATATATAAAACTTATTGTCATTCCGTGCCATGGAGGGAAGTTAAGCTCTGACGCAAATAATGGGAGCACCATGTTGAGGCTGAAGAGGGAGAGAGCTCGAACCAGAAACATCGGAGTATCATAGCTAGTGCCATCTTGTCCTCTATCATAGCGAAGTTTTGGCCTTGGCGAAATCTGGTACCCCAACCAAATAAATAGAAGGCGATTTGATTCTTCGATGCCTTTGGAAACTCCTTTAGCAAATGTCTCTGGTTTTATAACCAGTCTCTAAATGAAGCAACAATGTAGGTAAGAGAAGGTCTGCCCCAGCAGGGATCGACATCCCTCCCATGCTAGTTTTCTTGCTAGTATGCCAGAAAAGAGCAGTTGAAGTCTCAATACTTCATGTAATAGCAAGGACACCTGCCAAATAGGATCAATTTTATGAGCAAACTATAGGACTAGATACTTGGACTATTGACTGTAAGGTTGTCAACATGCCAGAGAAAACAGAGGAATTGAGCCTAGAAATCCAGGAATGTAGGTGGAATAAAAAAGTTCAAGCACCAAAACAGCTTGCTCTTTCTGAAGTTTAAATTTCTTCTTTCCCTCCTCATATCTGATTCCACAAGCTCTTTGAGCATTAACACCAGCAGGTAGAATATGGAACTGAGGTCCAACACATTTACAAGTCCTTCAGGACTCAACAGCTTTGTCCATCTATCAACCGAGTTACAACAACTTGAGGCAAATACCGGTATCATTTCCTCTTTACCAATTACCATGATCTATTAAGCATTACATGTATTGCCATAGTTCTGCTAGGTAAGCTTGGCTATCTAAACACATAGTACACTGCTTTTCAATCCATATCAGGAGCAAGTGCCACCTTTTTTTTCACTTGAGACAAACTATGAATTTAGCACTATATCAAGATTCAGTCACATATGATGAAATTACATTTGTATGATTTCATTGTTTGCTTATATGTAATACATATTGCCACTATGCAAGTAAGGAGGAAAAAGGGAGTAACCGGAAACTACATAAAGCTAATAATAAATTTTTGTTTTCCACAGCCATGGAACATTGAAGTTGGTGTGGTGTGCAAATATGGTCCATTAATTATCGTAATTATTTGACAAGAAAGAAAATTACGAAGGAATTAATGGTACTGACCATTAATTTCAATTACTTTTATAGTATATAATATGAATGGAGGTTGTAAGCATTTTAAATTTGATTTCCCTATCTAAAGTAGAGTTGAAGATTTGGTGCGTGCATGTGGAGCAGCGGAAGCACCTTTAACTTGTCAAGGTGAAAAGCTGGTGTTACCAGCCTTCTGCGAATGGCCCATTTCCCTCCTTCCAAGGTTGAGACTCCCAGCTGTAGAAGAACACGCAGAGGGTGTTCCATTCGTGGCTTTACAAAATGACCATTCTTTTCCGTTAATATCATTTTCATCAGCTTGGGGGTCTGCCGCCACTGTTAGCCTTGGTCTTGTTTTCATCCAACTCAGACCAGACAAAGGATTGCATGTCCTAGATTATAAGACAGGAAAGAATAAAACATCAACTCTACTGATGTTCAGGCACCCGAACATTTTGTTCATTGATTGATATATAATCTCTACGTTTAAAGAATAAGATTCGAATTTTTTTTTAATTAAAAAAAAAACCTCTATCAATACTCATCTATACCATAAACAGGAATAGGTAAATAAATTTTGACTATTTTGTAAAAATCTATGAAAGAGTCATTTCTTTTTTTTAAGTCTGACAGAGTCATTTCATTCTAGTTTAATATGTAATTTTGTTCTGATTTCGTCAAAAACGAAGTATAGTTGTTATGCGTGGTCAGTTTTACGCAGAATGCTTTACCATAGTTTGTTTTGCACCATTTGATGAATGACTGGTGCTACACGTGGCATAATCTTGTGGGTCAAAGCCATGGGTTTGGGCCTTGCTCACCATTTCTTTCATGTCATTATTATGCAAAAGCTCGTAGGAAGGTGCCTTTTGATTCCTCGCTGCCTCAAATACTTCCCCAAGCTTTGGGGCTCCCACCAAACCACATATATTACAGCTTGAACTTGATGAATTAATGAATTAAAACTTGAAGGAAGTGAGTTTGAACTATCAAATTTTAAGGAATTTGTAAGGCTTTGTCTCTTTATCTATTTGAAAATGACATACCAATAATGCAATTCAAAGTTGAGAAGTGCAGAACTCTTTATTCTGTGAACTCTCAAATGTCAGCCCAAGAACAGAAAGTTCAAGTGGTTCTCTATAGTTGTAGATCAAGGCAGAGCAAGGCGGAAAGGTTATTTTTTTTTTTTGTTGTCACCTTCTGTCTTAATTGCATTCATAAGTGAATAATGTTGACTCATTGAGAAAGAAAAACAGAAGAGGAAAGTGAGCACACAACTGCCTAGCAGTGCCTCGCACCCCCCAACCGCATGGCCCTCCTATAATCATCAGTCCCCTTCAAACTTTAACACTCTTTTTAAGTTCTCATTCTGGAAAGTGTGATATTTTGAGAATCTATGTATCTACAAAAAAAGAAGTTATTACTGTGAATCTAAAGTAGATATTTTTACTCAAAAAAAAAAAAGATGTAAAAGATATTGTATCTGAAGTAAATAACAACAAACAAAGGATAATTGCAATAAGAGAGAAGAAACAAAAGTAGCAGGAAAAGGCAGAGGGTGCAATTGTCTTTACCTTTTAACTTTTGTTACAGAGTTTGGGCCATTTGGGTTCCAATGAGTTCAAGCAAGTGTTTGCTTGAACCACTGCTTTAAGAGGACTACTACCACATATGTATCTTCGAGTTCAGTAGAAATTAAATAACATGGTTCATATCTATTGAGAAAAAAAAAATGAAGAAGAGAAAGAGGCAGGAGAAACATAAGGATCTATCAAATTCAAATCATACACAGCAAACAGTAGCAACCATTGCCATAACCCACCAACATGAGATTGCAGAATGCTTCCATAGTCCCATCACAATCTGTTGCAGAGATCACATTAAGAAACTCTTGGGGGTAAAAGGAGGAGGGTTGGAAGGGGGGGAAAAGAGTGATGGTGGGATGTGCAATGTGGCAGCAGACAGAATTTAAAATGGGAGGGGACATGAGGACAATGTACTGTACTGAATTCACGTGCACATCAATTGTATACTTCCAAAAGGATGTCTCTCATGTCTGCAGTCTAACACGTGTCGCTTTTCCAGTTTCTAAATACAAAATACTACGAACCTTTTGGGACCCTACCAACCCCTTCTGCCTTCAATATCCTACTCCTACTCTTTTAACTCTTCTCGTTCTTTCATTTATTTTGGCTGCACTTACCACTTCATTCCATGTCGACCACTCTTTGCCTTTGTATTGTACTCATCATTTGTTAAGTATAATTATTCACAGTTCAATGCTCCTTGCCTTCTAACTGGTGCATATCTCATCCAATTTATTTCTCTAGTATTTAAATGCAAATAGATGCCTTGACCATTATAGGAGTATATACGTTTTATGGGACTATACTATAGAATTACAAACAATGGCTTTACGAGTATTTGATTTATTTCTGATTTCAATCCTGTAATTTTTTTCTTAATTTTATGAATATGTTGACATTTGTTTTTTATATTCTGTATACATAATTTCGGGTTCAACTTAATCATTCAAAAATCATAATTTTACAAACAAGTAAGCTTGAAGTGGTATATCTATATATATAACTAAGCTAAAAAGGTTATAATTTTTCTAAAAGGGATAAAAAATTTAAATTGAAGCAAATGTTGACCTCAAAAGTTGGTGAAAAATTCTCACACCCTAAAACAAAAAGTAAATCATTGAAAATAGAATGATAATCATAAGAAAAATGTATTAGCTGTCAAATTTATAGCTAACTACTACCTATTGATTCCTAATGAGTGGTATCATTGTCGCAAATCAAAAGGCTTCCAAAACCTATTGCTCCAACTTGACCTTTTCCAAAAAGTAATTAAAAAGGAATTCAAAGAATAATTAATGCGCAAATTAAGTGATAATCAATGTTTAAAAGTTACCAATTGAAATTTAAGTGAAGATTAGAATTTTCAGCCATAATCCCATAGCCATAGTACTCTCTTTTTCTTTTTTTTTTCAATTTTCTTAAAAAAAGTGGATAATTTTGTTTTTTTTTTTTGGGGGATAAACCAAAACCCTAACTATGACCTGTAGAAGTATCTATCCATGTAACTTATTTTTTTTTTTGTCTTTGTTTCGTCTCTACGCTGCCTTGTCTCACAGTCTCACCTCACTCCACCCTTGCAAGTCTTCTCCCTCTCTCTTTCTCTTTCTCTTTCTCTTTCTCTCTGTTGTCTTTTAATTCTTCTTTGAAGAGGGGAAGGGCCTATTTTGGGTCCTCTTCGCATTTACACCGAACAAAAACCTCAAACCAAGAAAGAAGGAAAGAAAAAAAATATGCATCCTGTTAAATACGGAGCCCATCATCTACAGCAACAGCAGTTAATGGATGATGACGGCTCTTCATCTGGAGTTTTCTCCATTTCTAATCCTCCTCAATACCACCACCAACAATCTCCTTTTCATCCTAACTACCCTCAACATTCTCAACAGCAACAGAAGCAACAGCAAAATCTTTTCCAACAACATTCATCAGTTCCGGTTACGCATCAGCTTTTCCAACATCATCAGTTCCAACCATTTGAACAACAAGCCGAGCCTGCTCATCATCATCATGTCCATCAACAACCCTTTTTGGCTGTCAATTTCAAGTTGGGTCTTAATGAAAATAGTGGGAAAAAGGAGGCTGCTTTAGCTTTGAATCATCAACCGAATGTTGCTACTTTTTTCGATGGAAATGAGCAACATGTTCATGAGAATCGGCGGCCACAACAACATTCCCTTTTGATGCCTCATTGTTGGCATCCCCAAGAAGATTCTCCCATCAAAGAACCCTTTTGGTAATTTATTACTATTTAATATCTGTTGTAGTACTCTATTTTTATTTTTGTAAGAAAAGGTTGCTTTTTGGTTTTCAAAATTGACTTCTTTGTCACCCATGTGTTTGTGTAAATGTTACCAGGAAGCCTCTAAACCGATGTGAAGATAGGCAGTGTAGTGGAGATGGAGCTAGAGGGATAGAGGGGAATAAGTACGACAAGGTTTTGCAACAACCGGGTCAATGTACAAGTGAGAGAAGCAAGAATTTGGATAACAAATATAGACTCTTTGGTGAGCTTGAAGCTATTTATGGCCTTGTGAAGGGTGGAGAAACTACTCAAGCTGGTTCTGGGTCTGCTCTCACCGGTGAAAATTCACCTACAAATGTTGGTCTTTCCATGCCCCTAAGTGAATTTCAAGCACATAATGTAGGTGCCAATTGCGGGGGTGGTAATGTTGCACATGGGGTTGATCATGGATCAGAGACTTCTATTGGAGAAGAAGCTTCAATAAGGAAGATTGAAAAGAAGAAGAGGAAGAGGAAAATGAAGGAGCAATTGAGTTCAATGATTGGGTTTTTTGAGTGTTTGGTGAAGCAAGTGACTGATCATCAAGAGGGTCTTCATAAAAGGTTCTTGGAAGTGATTGAAAGAATGGATAAAGAAAGGACAATGAAAGAAGAATCATGGAGGCGACAAGAGGCTGAAAAGCGTCATAGAGAAGCCTTTGCGAGAGCACATGAACAAGATCAAGCTACAAGTAGGGAGGCTCTTATTGTTTCGTATTTGGAGAAAATTACAGGTCAAAGCATCAGTCTACCTGCAAGGACTCCATTGTTGCTGCAGCCGGAAAGTGCAATTGAACCCTTCAAAGAAAGCATGCCTGTGAAGGTTGATAACAGTAGCAGGTGGCCTAGAGCTGAAGTTGAGGCCTTGATTCAAGTGCGATGTAACTTCGAATCAAAGTTTCGAGAACCTGGATTAAAGGGGCCTCTTTGGGAAGAGGTGAGCTCTTTCATGGCTTCCCTTGGTTATCAAAGAAGTGCAAAAAGGTGCAAAGAAAAATGGGAGAACATAAACAAGTATTTCAGGAAGAGCAAAGAAAATGGTAAAATGCGCCCTCAGCAATCTAAAACCTGCACTTATTTTGACCAACTGGATCAGCTCTACTCAAGAATACCCGTTACTTGTCCCACTTCGCCTAGGCCTTTGATTAACCAGGATATTGAGATGCAAGAGCATGGTGATTCAGACTTTTTAGAAGCTTATATGCCTGAGGGTGACCTTGAGACTGCACAAGATAACGCTAGAGGGAGCCTTAAAGTTTCTGAAATCAACTCCCAATTGGATTTTGATGGCGCAGTTGATGAGAATGTAATAGTGCAAGGATGCAATGGAAAGGACAATGAAAGCCATGAAAACTAGTTGGAGAAAAAGGCTGAGCGATCAGAAAGATGATGATAATGGCAGTGACATAGGAGATCAGTGAGAATTGAGGTGAATCTAAAGAATAGAATGGTAAAACTCGGTTTATCACAAGGTAATTCTTTTTCCATTCTCAAAGAGTTTCCAGAGGCAATGGGGTTTAGTTCCTCAATGTTGCTATTATATATTTTTGAGTTTGAACTAAGCTTTCATTACAGCTGACTATAAGCAATATGTTCGACCAAATTTGTAAGGATGTGAATTAGAATTTCAATCCATCTAAAAATAGTTTACAAATTAAATGAATGTAGACCTCTTAATTTTCTTGATGTGGTAGAGATTGCTTTTTCTTATTCTTTGTTTTTTCTTTTGTATCATCTGCCTATGGACCATGGATAGTTTTGGTCCAACAATCCATTTTTTGTTTGAAAATTTGAACTTCTATCTATGACTTCCTCTTCTGTTCAATGTCGTTGCTTTGGCTGATAAAGGAAACTTGTTTTTGCTCTCACATTGTCAATTCTATGGTTGAAAGTTTTGGCTGCAATGAAAGAGATGGAGAATATATAACACTGTCTTGAGCAAGAATAGTACTGAGTACTTACAAATGGAGTCCCTATTGTTTTAGTTCATTGATATGCAAAAAACATTACAGAAATATATATGAACCCCAAAAAATAAGAAAGGAAATAAGAAGCCATGGCTTGATGCTTTTGATGTAGATCATGATTCTGTTTGGGCTAAAAGAGTGGAATCTTAATTTCTCCTGGGAACAGTGCATGCAATTGGAGAGTACGTGAGGGGGGTGGGGCCAGCCTGCATGGCATGGGCGACGACACAGAGATATGATATGAGGCTTTCCCTCTCTTCCATTATAGAGTTGAAAAATCTGAAATCTGAGTACATTTTTAATGAACAGATGAGATGACATCACTTGCAAGAGCACGCACGGTGACCCGATTCACATGCTGCATCTTATTTTCACCAGAACACTCCACTTGTTTCTCTGCACCATCTTTTATTTGACTGTTTGCAGCCAACAGCCATTAACTCTCCCCCTGGAGACTGCACCAATAATTTCCTCCTTGGGCCTATCAAAGTTTTGGCTTTTATATTTCTCACTTATTCTAATTTTATCATATCGAAAAGTCTAATTATATATTGTCTTCAACGTTTCCAGAGGGAATTGGTCTAATCCTAATTAGCATTACTCCATCGGTAACATGGTTGTGAATGCATGCAATGCAAGCATTTTTATTTCGACTGATGTTGCTTTAGAATTATACAAACTTTTTCTGCTCCTATTCAACAAATGACTGCCATTAATGCTAATCTGTTTTCTTAACCTCTTCTTATTGGGTCAACATCCATGATTGACATCATAACAAGTGCTGTTGGATGTAATTTGGGCTTAACCCATCTTGGGCATGCTAAGGGTTCAGCCTACTAGAAAAGGCACCTTAAGGAGCGTTTAGTATAAGAGAAGATGTACGTAATGTGTTAGAATGATGTCTGTCACAGTTGAGGGTGCTGGACTTGGTATTAACCAAAACCAAAGTGGAGCTGAGCTCGAAACATGGCCCATGAATATGATGCCTTCTACTGTCTTAAGATCGCACCATATACGGCTCCATTTGGGGTCCTTTCTTTTTCCCTTCATGTGTTGCTGGTACCAATTAAAAGGTTGAGAGGACGAAAATCCAGCCATTCTTTTTTTGTCTTTTATTCCTATCATGATTGCAGATTTCAGCAACTCAAATGTTATGAAGAAACTCTATCGTGTTACTTCCCCATCAAATTAAGCATTCGATGCAACGTGACGGCAACATCATTATCTATCTTGGGTCATCAGAAGGGCAGCGCACAAATTGCTACTGCAATATTCTCCTGTGAAAAATGCTGCTTTCCTTTTCCAGTTATTTCCATGCTGTAATGAACCATGAGATTTTCAGTCATCTACAAAAGAACATTTGCAAAATTACAAAAGCAAAATGCATGTGAGAAGTGTAATGACATAATCCAAGCAAACACCTCGATCGCCATGGAACTTGGGATGACTTCTGTTTACAATCGAGCTTGGAAAGAAAAAAGGGGAGATTTTTTTTACCCCTTAAAATATGATGTTTTTGAAAGTAATTTTTTTAATTTTATATTTATTGGAAAGTGTTTAATTTTAAGAGTTTATGTGTCAATTGAATACAAAGATAAAAAATAAGTTACACCTTATTTTTAAAAAATGTTATTATTAAATGTTATATTCAAAAAAATTATTACAATTAAAAAAATTTGTTACATGTTTTAACTTTAACGGTTTATTTTATAATAAAACATAAAAGAGCAAATTATAAGTCATGTTTAATAATAGAATAGAAAAATAAAACGACATTGCAAGCTTAAGCTGATATTACACGCCAAAGTCAAAGATTCAATACCAAATATTACAAATCAAAACTTCAACAACATATATTATACATTGAAGCTAAAGCAGAAGATGCTACACATCAAACTTCAATAGCAAATGTTATATGTCAAAGTCAAAGCTTTAACACTATAAATTATACATTAAGGTCAAAGCTTCAGTACCAAATATTACATTATAAGTCTAAAATTTTAAAACTAGATATTGTATGCCAAAACTTCATTATTTCTAATGATGTTACACGCTACTGTACAACCTTCAATCACTGTCACATTACCTTCATAAACATCCATAAAGTCAGTATGGAGAAGCTCTGAGAGTCCGATGAGCTCAACATTAAATTCATAACCAAGTCCCATGCATAGTATCATTGCTTTCAACTGATTGTGAATGCCTATCATTGGAACCTAAATTTGCTTCCTTGTTCTTCTCCAAGCCTTCATTGGCCTTCAATAATATGCTGCTGTCAGCATATTCATATAAGATAGGTGAAGGACAAAGAGTATCACTCGTCGCCTTGGTTTTCATCGAACTTGACTCCATGTGCAAGGATGATGCGGTAGTCTCATTTTCTTGAACGGGATTTTTTCTTTTTGGTGCTGCTCATGGCTAGCTTTTGCTCTCTTTTTTACAATTTTATTCTAATAGTTCATGATCTCCTAGTCTGTTAGGTCGACCCGGAAGCCATCCAGCTGTTTCTAATTAAATTACACTGATCATGAACGAAGGGTGCAAGTGTCGAGTGCCAATGATGTATCCGAATTCGTTATGGCATTTTGCTTATTTCTTTTCACCTGTTTCCTTGTGCAGCAACAAGCCAGGTCTTTCTGTTTTGGGCTAGTTGTGGGTATTGATTTTCCAGGTCTTGTCTCTTGGTCTCCTACACTACTTTACTTTTTCTTGGTAGATAGGCCGTGTTGAATTTTTAGCCCATAGATTTTGTTTTGGGTTGGACTTGATGCAGCCCAGTTATTTTTCTTCTTTTTCTTGTCCTTTTTCCGCCTTTAAGTGGCAGGCGGACAGTGGTGGCGAAATCATGTCGACGGTGGTGATTTGGTGGAAGCGATGTTGTTTGAGGATTTTGGCTGCGAATCATCATTTCATTTTGTGAGACTTTCGGGTTTCACTTTTCCACAGAGCTTTAACACCTTTCCTGGTATTCTTCCTTTTCTCCCTTGACGATGATTTTTGGAGGTACTAATAAGGGATAAAAGAATAGACATTGATCCGCTACCTGCCGCTCAGTCCACCGCTATTGTTCTGGCCTTCTTGAGGAGAGGAGTTGAAATTTTGGAACAGTGTTTTTCATTGTTCTTGACGGCCTTTGCTGGAAGTGGGGGGAATCAGCCCCTACATATGCTCCCCAGTCAGGGGTAAACCTAAACCATGAGCAAGGGAGACGCCACCCTCTGCTTTTCACTGGGCATTTTTCTCTTCTTCTATTGGTTCTGGGCTGCTTTTTTCTCTGATCTTTGATATACTTACAAAATAAACCCGAAAAGCAGCACAAGTGAAATGAAATTATGTTTAGTACTATAAAATGGAAACTCAATTTCGTAACAGAGTTCTTACATTATCCGAACAACATATGAATACCGGCCAATTCCCTATCTCGGCGCTAAAAATTCAAGTTCAAGGATCCATAGCTAACTAAAATAGAATATTATTATCAAATGTCCAAATATCAAATGGTCCATCCTAGGATACCTGAGTTTGGTTTGAAGAGAATGGTGAACCACTATCATAATCTTTAATCATCATCTCGTTACCTTCATAGATATCTTGGAAGTCAGTATGCAGAAGCTTTGATAGGCTAATCTCCTCAACATTAAGATCCTTCATCAAGTCCTGTGTATTATAATTGCTTCCGATATTGAAAGGCGAAATACGTTTGTCACCATCTGCTTCCTTGTTCGTCTCCAAACCTTCATCAATGGGGGCTTTCACCAGCGTGCCACTGTCAACATGCTCAATTGAGATTGCTGTTGGGCAAAAAGTAGCATCGGAATATCCTTTTAGCTTGGTTTTCGTAGAAAATGGTTCCATGTTCGAAGATGGTACAGTCTCATTTGAAGGTTCCTTGAGGATTTTGTCTGGCTCATTGCTAACTTTTACCTTCTTTCTTAGGATAGTATTCCAATAGTTTTTTATTTCATTGTCTGTCCGACCTGGAAGCCTTCCAGCTATCAGAGACCATCTATAAAGACCAATCATGTCAAATGAGATCAGTAAAAATGCAATGACATGAAACAATTAATTAGTCAGAACATTCATTAGAAAGGCAAAACCTGTTGCCTAAGAGTCTCTGGAGCCTTATAATGAGATCTTCTTCATCCTGGGAAATGTTTCCTCTTTTAACATCAGGTCTAAGATAATTCACCCAACGAAGTCTGCAGCTCTTTCCACATCTCTTAAGACCTGACAAGACAAACATAAAAACGTCTATTCTTCAACAAGCATAAGGATCTGTACAATCCTGAAATTTTCAATCAATGAAGCTAATAGAACTGGTAACTTACCTGCTTTCTCAGCAATCTTCCCCCACTTCCCTACACCATGGATTTTGACATGATCTCTAAGAATCTGGTCTTCAAAAGCAGTCCAAGCTCCCTTATTTAATCCGCCGTCGGTATAGGAAGTTCTACCCATTCTAGGACGGCCCTTGCTCTCACAGTTGCACTCGTATAGTCAAAAGCCACAGATTGTATATCATTGTATGTGAACAAGTAATCTTTTCCTCATCTGACTTTCTTTCTCTCAATGTTGACATATGCATTAAATGATGTAAAGAATTAAGGGCAAGACAATACGAGAGGGTTTCGATTGATTGCATCTGCAGGTTCTAGTGACAATGAGGTCGATTGAATATTCTATCACAAGTTTTATCCTTAACATATTTCTTTTGTTGGATCTTTCACGAAACTGAAAATAATGACATTATCATTAAGGGTTATTCATGCAACAAGTTCTGCCCCTGCTTCATCCAGAGTTAACAGAAAAATCAAAGCGCAAGATTCTCATTGATGATGTAAACTGAAGAAAGGACTCATGGTTCATCAGTGCTTTTATATATATAATTTCAGGAACAAGGAACTTAATTGTAAGGACAGATCAATGGCTTGTTATTTAGAACTCATTAGTAAGCCTTATTCTTTAGTGTTTTATTATTGGAAAAAAAGGGTTAATTCTTTGATCATAAATGAACCGGCCTAATATCTTTATATATAATGACAAGTTGCTAGTTATAATGATCTTTCACAATATCTATTATTATTTTAATGATCAAACTATTAAAAAAAATGAAGAGTTTGAAAATGTAATGTTTTCAATACCTTGAATAATACAGATAAAATCTTAATCTTTTAAGTTTGCATTAATTACATGCATTAGTATCGTTATTTTTGTCTCCATTCTTCAAATTTCAGATTATTTAGTATTTCCAAATTATCATTACTCTTTGTAGACCGACTCATATATATATATATATATATATGATTAATTATTCTTTTTTCATAGGAATCAAGATTAGTTGACTTCAAAAAATGCTGCGAAAAAGAATCCAAAATCTCATAATTGTATGTCAGTCCCATGAATAAAGGTAATCATATAAATGTTCATAGTCGTTGGCCAAATAGAAATCCGGATTGGCGTTTGTGTTTTTGTCAACAAACATGTCTGATCCCGTTTTCATGGAATCTTCATCTCATTTTTCCATTTGCTCCTATATATTTAATGGTTTGAATTATTTTGCTCGTGTACAAATGGAATAGAATATTAATTACCGGCATAGACTGTATAAAATCAAGGTTCGAATCTAATTATTATTAATACAATAATTATAAAAGACAACAACGTTATTGCAATAAAATGAGTCTTCCGAAGCTGCTTGAAAGTGTCCCAAGTCCTCAATTTTCACATTACTATGAAGTATAAGCCGTTGATATATTTATGGGATTTTTCCTCTAATTTTTTTTTTTTGCCCTCACGTGCCTTGGGACTCCAACTCCAAATGCTACAAAATCCTATAATATTCAGGCAGACGTCTTAATTGGTAATACCAATATTTTTGTACTTTTAATGTTTAATTCTTGGTACTGTTTTCGTTCAGGGCCCATCATTCATGCAACGACAGACGCCCCCTTGCTCGGCTTTCGGCTTTTGGGGCCTTTGTTTGTTTGGGTTGAATGAGTTTTGGGCTGCTCTACACTTTCATTTCTCAATTTGCATTGTAGGACTCAAAACACGTTTGGGGTTGAAATGAACCCAATTATGAGGAAGGATTGGAGAGGATGGCAAGATATAGATTAATCTGCTCAACGTTTAAACAATCATTGCTTCTGCAAGTTATATGTGAAGGCTTATCACCATAAACTATATTATTTGCTTCCTTGTTCTTCTCTAAACCTTCATCAATGGAGGCTTTCGCCAATGTGCTTAATGTCAACATGTTCATTTGAGATTGGTACTGGCGGACAAAGATTGTCATTGGAATATCTACTTAGCATGGTTTTCTTATTAGAAAATGGTTCTACCTCCAATGATTGAGCAGTCTGATTTGAAGGTTCCTTGGTGGGATTTACCTTCCTGCACTTCCCTTCACCATGGTTTTTAATTAACTTAATCTCTGACACTTCAAGCCCAGACCAAGCAAGTGTTGGGAAAAGGGTATTAATATATCGAAAGTAATGATACAAATAAAGCCTTTTCCACTAGAAAGAATTTGTAAGGAACAAATATTTAACCAACAAAAATATTTCAGTCAGCAAATATAGTTATAAATGCACAAAATAAAAATCACAAACAACTTACGATTTTTAATGTAAAAAACTCCTCAATGTGAGAGGTAAAAGTCACGAAACCTACTCCAAAAAAATAATTTATTATAAAAGATCAATGAATATAACAAAGAGTTAACCAGTAATCTTAGAACTCATCAAGCAATAATGTATAAAACCCAAATAAAAGGTATCATAACTCAACAAATGAAAAAAAAATGCAATCTGACCATACAAATTAAAAATCATAATGTCAGAAACAACATATTAAAATTTCATCAAAATTAGATTACAAATCACTTTTTGATACCACAAAATAAGTAAAAAAATGGTTAATCCTTGGTATAGGGAGTTCTAGCCGTTGTACACAGATTGTCCGATCACCCTCAATAATTTGAAATATAATGACAGGCTACAACAGGCTGTATGTGCTGACCTTGACTAATTACATTACCGGCACTTTTAACAAGTTTAATTCTCCTTTTTATTTTTTATAATCTGAAAATCTAGCATTGGCAAACATACGAGCAAAACACTCAACTAGTACAACTGGTAATTAAGGTTACCAAGTATTCCCTATCCATCCAATCCTTTTCATTTTTGTTCTTTACTGTTCAACTAATTAAGCAATGTTCGTTCATGTGTGAATGGAATTAATTAAATAGGAATAAAAGACTTGCATATAAATTAAGATAGATCATAGATCCATGCACCATGTACTACAACTATATGTAGCAGTCAAAAAGAAAAAAAAAACTTTTTATTGTATAATTTAACTAACAATCAATTCAGAATTTCATATAAAAAGTAGTTATAAAAATAATCATATTATATATATTAAATTATATAAAATAATAAAAAATTAAAAATTAAAGGGTCACCACATGTAGCTCCTTGACTCTGCCCTGCCAGCTCGCAGCTACTATATTATATTTTCATTCCTCGTTATGATACACGAAACGGCACGAACGCACCAGCAGCAAAACCTCGGAGAGGCATCGATTCTTCGCAGCTTGGTTGACAATTAGCAGTTGGTATCAAAACAACCACAACTTCCCGAAAAGATGGGCCAGAGAGTTGGTAGGATCTTGGCTGCGGTGACCATGCCAGCAGAAGATGGTGGGATTAGATCTACCTACTCAACATAGTTTTCATTGCCTTTTGCTTTGATGCATGAACACCACGATAGAATTAATCATTGCTTTATGAAAGCAGATCTATTTAATTTCAACTTGGTTGCATATATATGAAACCTTTCTTCTTTTTGGTTGAACTTAAACTTGTCTGCATTTCATACTAATTTGGCATTGGGGTCAGAAGTATAGGCTTCAACATGTTCTAACAAGAAGAATATAAAATTCTACGTAAGGATGAGAACAACCCCATAAAATAAATGCATTTGCCGAACGATCTTTCCAAGGCCATAGTGTTTCTTAACTTCCTTGTGATCTTAGAAACCCTTGATTTGCTTCTCAAATTTTGTCCACATATATATATATACGGAAACATGTCGTGATCCATGAGATCCTATAGTTTTCTGCATACAATTTTTTAGTTATAAAATTCTGACACCCATTTTTCTAGAACATGAGGGAGGGCTTGTTTCCATACTATTATATATGTTCATATGATTTTGCTCGTGTAGAAATGGAATACAATAATTACCCGTGGCTTCCAGATGTTGAAGTAGGATTTAACTTCCCTGCAGATTGGCAGAGTGTAAAATTCAAGGTTCAAATTCAGAGGACAAAAAGATAATATTTATGAAAGATTAGCCTCGGTGAAGCTTGAAAGTGGGGAAAACAATCATGCAACCTGCATTTATAATAATATATCTTTTGCATGGTTCACACTTCACATTCCCACTATCAAATTGGGAGGTGGCATGAGAGGAGGCTGGTGTTCAGATTGAAGTTCAAATTAATTGAAAAATCCATACATCAATGCTTGGGGTTGGAGGAGGGAGGGTGGTGGGGGGTTAGTGATAGTGACGTATGGTAGCAAATGGAGTTAACGACGAACAAAATTTCCATTAAATTAGTGGTTATGATATTAGCGAAATCAAACATGAGGAACATGTGCTAAGCTTAAACGAATCATTAGAGCCATTATTTGCTGCCACGAATGTAAAAAGAGAGGAAAAAACAAAAGGCAAAACCAATGGAAGGATCAGACGTGGCTTTATTAGATGATTAATTAGTCTCTAATTAATAAAAAAAAAAGTCTTCGCCTCCCTCCCTTTGTTTCCTTCTATCTTTTATGGAAGCAAAGGCTCACAAAGTCCTACGTTAATCATCTCGTGCAGGACAAAGAAGGCCACTTAGGCTTTGTCATCAAGGAGATTAGAGTATATAGATTGAGAACAAATTAAGTGGGGTTTGATTAATTAGTGAGTAATGATAGAGAGAGACAGAAAACAAAGTGGTTTGGTTAACTAGTGGTTCATTGAAAAGAAACAAATTAAAGCGCAAAGTATAGGGAAAGAAAACAAATAAAGTGATTGGTTGAGACAAGACCACGATTACTAAGGAAACTTTTGAACAAATATAGAACAAGTAGTGGAACAAAATAAGTAGCTGGACTTTACAGTGATTCAAATCATAGAGAATAAAAAGAGATTACATACTTTATAATATCTCATGCACATCGATGTTACAAGAAACCTGCCGGGCCACATACTTAATTAACTAAAAAAAGATGTTACCACAAACGTCCAATCAATTAACGCCTAAATAATTAAAATTTTAATTAAATAACAAATTATTTACTTAAAAGAAGAGAAAAATTTAATGTAATTTGGTACACGATTTGTCTATGAATAAGAGAAAAAAATTCAAAAATTGTAGAGAAATAAAAAATGTTCAAATTGATTACTTGACACGACAAAACGGACCTATGAATTCCAAATTAAGTCAATGTTCTTTTTAAATAGCGGACTTATGTATATACAAAAAACATTATGGACCCTTTGAATATAAAGTAAACGAGATTGGGTGCCTGACTGCTTGTTATACTTCATTTTATAACCCAACAGCGATTTTTTATATCGTTTGAAATAGCAGGAAAAGAAGAATAATTATAATATTTATTATGTGTACATAATTGGGGTGCAGCTATCCAATCTTTGATTTTGCAGTAAAATAATACTTTTTGTCAAGTCCCCCGTCCATATATTTATTGCTTTTTATATTTTATGAATAGGGAGAATAGTTTTAAGGTAACTGATAAGAGTAAGAATTTCTTTGATTGATATTTTTATTAATTTTTTTTATTTTTTGATAAAAATTGAATATAATTTAAAAGCAAAAAAATTAGATAACAACTAATAAAAATATCCATCAAATGAAATCTAATAGAAAGAAAATTGAAAGAAACGGTTAGACGAAAAAACAACCTTGAAAAGATGTACATTAAAGGAACGGCAAGGACAAATTACAAGTTCAACACCTTTTATTGACCAATTTAATTCTACAATGTGCAAATCAGACTTAATACAGTGAAGTTAATTCTTTGTTCATTGAAGGAACCAAAAGAAAAAAAGAGCCCATCTGAATAACTAGCCTGTTAACACAAACTATATATCATCTCTTATCCAGTCTGTCAGCATTTCCTCAGAAAATTGAAGATGCTGGTCTGAAGAAAGCCACATGTTTCTAGCAACACCGCTGCTTTCACCTTCTTCCATGCTATTTTTATTAACCTGACAGTAGTTCCAAAACTCTGACTCTGAGATATCAGACGCCAAAAGCTCCCCTATATCAAACTCCAACGCTGAGTTTACTGAATGAGCTTCCTCGGAAGTTGTAGACAGTACTGTTCCCCCACTCTTTGGGGATTCCAATCTGGCTTCATGCACCAGGTCTGCGTTAATGATTTCAGCTTTATATGCCTCCTGGGTGACTAAACATGTTGAGCACTTGGATGCCTTGGTCCTAAGTGCAGTGGATTGTGGGGTTTCAGCCAATGGCTGTATCTTGCCTTTCTCCAATTCGTCCTTGGATTGCTTTGCCTGTTCAGCTTTAACCTTCTTTCCTAAGGTTGAGTTCCAGTAATTTTTTATTTCATTGTCTGTTCGCCCCGGAATTCTCCCTGCTATCAGTGACCATCTGCAATCACCGCAAAGTTGAAATCTTTTAGTGACATTTTCCTTACCAAGCTACTATATATCAACTTATATTAACGAACACTAATAGAAATCTAAACAAGAAAAATAAAAAGCTAAAACCGGAGCTTGAGTCTTGAGCACAAAAATTAAAGAATGAAAACAGTGAAGTTGATTGTTCTAAAAGAAAACACCTGTTGCCTAGCAACTTGTGAAGTCTAATGATAAGATCCTCTTCTTCTTGAGATATGTTACCCCTCTTGATATCAGGTCTCAAATAGTTTAACCATCTAAGCCTGCAACTCTTTCCACATCTCTTTAAGCCTGCACCATATACACGCAAAACCCAGTGATTTGACCATGGAGAAAAATAGAGGCAGCCCAAAATCTTACATCTTCTTGGTATTGTTATGTCTGTGTGGGCGTGTCTCTTTGTATTTATATACATTGATCAAAACTAACACTTACCAGCTTTCTTGGGAATATTTCCCCATTTGCCTTCACCGTTGGTTTTGATGTAATCTATCAGAATCTGGTCCTCAATAGCACTCCAAGCTCCTCTGTTCAATCCTTCTTTGGAGCAGCAAGGTTTTCTACCCATTTGAGCTTCACTCCTCTCTCTCTCTCTCTCTCTCTCTCTCAATCAATAAATTTTCAAAACAAACCTTTGCATGGGATCTTGGTGGTTTTTGACGAAAGAGTGACCTGATTCTTATAGACTGTCGTATTCGTCTGGACATGGGGATTGTATGAACTCAATATAGATTAATTTAATCCCACTTTCATTATAAAAATGAAATCAGCTTGTTTGGAATTAATAAAAAAAAAATGGCCATGAGGAGTGAAGTGCATTGGGCTTTGCTGTTCGGGTTCTTTAATGAAGAAACACTTCACCGTGTTCTCAAATCTTTTTTATCAATTGTTTTCATGGTTAATAATATCCAAATTTTAAGCAAAACTTCTCTCTCTTTCTCTCTCTCTCTCTCTCTCTCTCTCTATATATATATATATATATATATATATACATATATATAATTTAGGCTGTTTTGTGGTTGAGGAAATTGATTGCCTTATTATCCACACGGAGAGATTGAGATCAGGGGACTGCGTGCCTTGAAGGTAGTTTGATTGACTCATGGTGTTTTGAGCTTCTCAGAAATTCACAACAAGACAAATGCTTACTCTTTCTTCCTTTCTTTGTTTTTTGGTGATTGACCAGAGTCAAGATTTTCCATTTAACTATGACAACTCCTCTACGGCATCCAAATATGAAGAAAAAGCAGGAGCTTTAAGAATGACAAACGCAGAGGGAGTTGACATGCAACTTACCTGCAGAAAGAAAAAGGGGGAAAAAAAATCTCAGCTCCTTTTAGGACGTATCCTGCTAATCATTGACTTTAGAAACTTGGAAATGACCCCAGGCCACCTAGTGAAGTACAACAAATTGGCCAAATCAAAAACTGAAAAATCAAAACTTGTGACCATAGTACTGTGGATGCTATACAATTCATCATTAGGTAATTGTGGTTCAGCAACTTCCAGAAAGTGTCAGTTCTTGATAAGTTACTTCCACTGTTCCACATTATTGTCTTATATGGAAAAATGATAGGCACAAGTTGTATATCAATTGAATCAACAACAGGAAACTCTGTTTACAGGAAAATCAGAAAAATAAAAATAAAATGGTCAATTTACGGCCATTAACAGTTTTGAAGGGACCATCCTTTCTGTCAATTCAGTGGTGAGTCGGTTATATATTATTTGGTCATGGCCAACTGGCCTATTTGGGAAAAAAAAGGCATTATCAGAATTGCCAAAGCTTAACTTGGATTACTTTTATTGGAAAAAAAATCCTAAGACGCCTCTATGGAGTAAAAAAAGGGCATCTTCCCAGCAAACATGCATGATGCATGCTGTAATGGTGGATTATCATGTTGCTGTTATTGTAATCATCCTACTGAGCAATGGGAAACCCATAGATCTTTAGATGAGTTTAAAATTTGCTACTTGGTCAACTTTATAGTGGAAGAGTAGAGCATTTATTTACAGCAATCGATATATGATAGCCCATTAAAAATTGAGTTTCATCCAATCAACTTAACCTACCTGTTAATATAGTGCAACAGGTGTACAGAGCCTTAAATGCATGTATTTAAGGCAACTATATTATAATTCAATCCCATATGCTAACTTGTACTACATCAATACGCATGATCTTCCAGGAAATGAGAAACTAAAATTTTTCTCCAACTCAACACACCCCCATGGAAATTAAAAATTTTAATGACATGTTCCCCTGCCCAAGATACACACATTGTTCAAAGCATCAATCTGCTTCCCAAATTCCGAGGATTCTTCCTATATTAATTGGCTTACACGTATCAAAAATTTTACGCACAATTCATGAATTCACAAACCTAAAGCAAATGGGCCAATATCTTTTCAAAGAGTAGTTGATCTAAAGGGAGATGCAGGTTGCGGAGAAAGTTTGGAGATATATAAGAGTGGAAGAAAATGAAGAGCATATGCTTTATTTGCTGATTAGTTAATCACTAGAGTATTAAACAATATGGGCTCGAATATTATGCCAAAAAGCAATTCAGATGTGGAATCACATTTAAAGGTTTAATAGGATTCCAGCGGTCGATGCTCAAACTTATCAGTCAAGCTGGTGTCAGAGGATATGAACCCCCACCTGGATTATCATCAAAAGAATCTAAATTTCCATCTATTGGAATCTTCCCTAAGTTTATTTAATAGGAAACGAAAACAAGAGGGAATTCATTTCAATTTTTGGACAGATAATAATAATCCCAGCAAGGAGCAGTGCAATTCTTTTCGCATTATGTTTAATTGGAAGGAAAAAGAAAGTGCTTTTAGGACTTTCGGTAGCAAAAGTCTTTCTTTAATCAAAAATCACGTGCCAGCATGATTTTTCTTCTATTATAACGATGCTTCATTTGTCGTGCATGGCACGGGTAATCTTTTAAGACGTAAGATTTATTCAATATTCATATGAACATATGGCAAATAAAATAGAATTTTTCTTTTTCCTTGACTTGAGCGACTTCCAATTACACAGGGTCAAAAAAATCAGAGACCCTGTGTGGGGATCTTGTTTTTTGTTTCCAACGGTTTAATTATTATTGTCAGTACCCTAATTTCTATGGTAGGTTTTTGGATTTTGGTGTTGTGATGAGAAGAGTTATTCTTTCTCTACCAATAATTGAGGAGACTAAACAGCTAAGGAGTTGACTAACCCTTTCCTAATGTTGGTCGAGGCTGCGGAACAAGGACATATTGCCTTCGATGCCGGGCTGATTTGCTCAAACTTATTCAAGCTGGACAATTTTGACTCCATTACATATTCCTAGTAGAAAGTTTAACATTAAATTTTTTCCTGACATTTTTGGTGCAATAGAGGCATAGCTCAAGAAGAACTATAGCTTTTCTTTTTCGACGAGGAGATGAACTAAATCTTACATCCCGGACGTATTGATGGTGTATAATTATATATTATTAGGCCATCAAATGCTATCATCTAATTAAAAAGCAAATTTAAAACTTTACGACCAGCCAAGATTAACAGTCACTGGCTTTGTAAGTAGCAAGACCACTCTCTTGACTATTAATTAAAGTTCCAACCATTCGCTTAAATGTTTTGGTTTAGATTAATTTCATTCCATTAAGAGGGTTGTTGAAGGATATGATCAAAGATGAATACTTATTGAATCGATTATTTTATACATTAATGGGTTACACTGTATTTTGCTTCTTATCTACCAGCATCCAGCTGAAGAAGACTGCCTAGGAAATCTTAAAGCATTATGCTTCCGGGCTTTTTTATTTATTCCCTTAAATAGGCAAAAATAGGATCTATTAAATCCTTGATTTCAGGAAGCAACCATGTTGCATTTGTGCTATTGGATATGCCTATAAATAGTTATAAATTAATACAACTAGAATAATATAATAAGAAGATTTATTCATTATTGAAAATAAGTAACTTAGGGTCATATTTGAGTAATGTGGTATCAATATTTTACTGAATAGATAGGAAGTTACAAGCTCCAAATCACACATGGCCAGTTGGCTACACGCGTTGGCATTTATTCTGATGCACTTTTGTTCAAGACGTGGACAAGAGCATGAAGCCCGGACCACTGCCGAACAAATGTAAGATCTATACTCACCAGTTTAAGTTAACTAAAAATGTAATTAGATTAACCATTCTTCAGCAGATTCCAGGAAAGCAGTCAAAGATCCAAGATCTGAATCCAAGTTAGCTTGAATATAGTTGTCACTTCCACTCCAGTTCTGCTCCATTTCCTCTGGTAACAAAAATGCTTGCGATGGCGAAATTTTGCTAATATAGTTATCTGCATCATCTCCTTGCATCACCTTATCCATCTCAGAAGCACCGAGATAATGGCTGAAATTTGTAAAATCAGAAGCAAAAATTTCTGGAACACTTATTTCCCCTGCACTGATATCCACCATAAAATCAACAGGATATTCTTTATTGGAGGACAGAGTAATTAGTGACCCATCGCTGGACTCGGATCCTGCTGGAACATTCTGCACTAAATTTGGATCCACGGAAGGTGGCATAGCCAGGTTTCTGTGATGATTTTCAATCCTGTGTTGCTGATCATCAGGGGTGATAAACACCTCTTTGAAACGCAATGCCTTGGTGCGGATAACGCGTGAGCTAACTAGGTCCTCATCCGCTTTTGCAGTGATAGGTTTCTTTCCAACTTTAGAATGGTTTGATTTTGGTCCTCGCTCCTTCCCTTGTCCCCTCTTTGATAAATGGGTATTCCAATAGTTCTTGATTTCATTGTCTGTTCGCCCTGGAAGTCTCCCTGCTATCAGAGACCATCTACAAAGTCAACAAATCATCCATTTATGAGTAATTACCTTGAAAATATCTAACCGGTATCCATACATCTAGAAAATTAATTCATGAAGTAGAACAGAAACCTGTTTCCTAAGAGTTTGTGAAGTCTGATGATGAGATCTTCTTCATCAGGAGAAATGTTCCCTCTTTTGATATCAGGTCTCAAATAGTTCATCCACCGCAGCCTGCAGCTTTTTCCACATCTCTTCAGGCCTGCAAGAAAGAAAAAGGAATAAACTTGATTTTCGTATAACAACAAGCAAACCCAATGCATCCTTTTTGTAACTCCATTCCTTTTGGCTTAGATGGTAATGAATTCATTTGCAGGAGTGAGATTGAACATGAATGAACCATTAATTTTTCCATCCCTAAGCATTTATGTTCCAGTCTCTCTCACCTGCTTCCTTGGGAATGTTCCTCCATTTTCCTTCACCATCAACCTTGATATAATCAGTGAGAATTTTGTCTTCAGTGAGGGTCCAGGCTCCTCTGTTCATTCCCTCTTTAGAACAACAAGGTCTTCGACCCATTGCTGCTCTACTCTGTCTCCCCTCCTTGGGCGAGAGTTTGAGACAATTGAAAGTTCCAATTGAACGTGCAAGTTGTTAGCTAGTGAGTATGGGGGATCAGTTGACTATAAAAGATGTACCGTTCAATCCAAACAATTTTATATCCATTAATAACTTTTAAGGATAAAATACTCATATTACCTTAACTTTTAACTATAATTTTAGATGAATTCATTAATTTTTAAAATAGATAATGAGATCTAAAAGCCAAACACCATTAATAAAAATATAAAAAAGTTAAAATCCTTTTTTTTTCTCCTCTATTTTTACTTCAAACAATGTGATCAACCGACAATGCTCTTATTCATCAACCGACTGTCTTACTACAAGTGCATCGATCTAGTGCTCCCTTAGGAAGGGGAGCACTCTTAGGAGCACCGATCTAGTGCTCCCAAGGGAAGGTGGGGAGCACTGATCGGTGCTCCTCTCTCCTAAGAAGTAACACCAATTTGGTGCTCCCTCCCTTGGAACAGCAGATGTGCTCCCCTCTCTTGAAGAGTAGAGAATTTTTTTTTTACAAAATAGAAAGAAATTAAAAATTAAAAAATTATAATTTATATAAAAATAATTTTTAAAATTAATAAAAAGTAAAATTATTTTTTTAATATTATCATTTCAATAATTTAATAAAAATATTAATAATTGATTAACGACTGAATTTATGTATCTAAAAAAAATATTTTTTTGAAATGAATTGTCTATTTTAACGTATGAGATTATGATTAAAAGCTAAAAAAGTGATAATATTTTACTTAATTTTTAATTTATAGTCAATAGGACCAAGCACAATTAAGATATGAAAATCTATAAAACTAAATGTGTTAGCATTGGGTTGTTAAAATTGATAACAACTATGTTTTTACAAATTAAAAGCAATCCCAATGCGATTCAATTGCATGTGCTATGAAAAGACAAGTCACCAAAGCTGTAATTAATGATTTTACAGTTGAAACTTTGTAATGAAAAAAATTGCATTATCATTCCTTCTCTGAAAGAGCTAGCACAGTCATTTCCTGTGGAGGCACTTTTATCAAGCGATTGGGCGATGCATTGCCTGCAATATCTGGCTCAAAATAACTAATTACTTACCTAATGCTTACTTCTCTCTCTCTCTCTCACTCCCCCACACTCCCCGCCCCTCTAGTGTAAGGCATGATCATGTTAGTGCTGTTTCCATCAAGTTGAAGTCGATAAAGACATACACTCAGCTACCATTCCCAATTGTTTCTGCTCTATTGAACAAACGTTCCCACCAAGGCCCAGAAGCTTGAAAGTTTGTTGCTCTCTCTCTCTCTCTCTTGAAAAGGACTGCAATTTCTGAAAAGGAAAGGAATTAAGCACCAATTATTGTAATATTGTCCTTTAACTCCAACAGGATATACCAAGTACAAGTCAAGATCGAACACACATACACATGGTGTGGGTCAATGGAATCATGATTTCAGCAACTCTTTTGTCGTTTCAACATGTTCTAGGACTTTTTTGCACTCCGGGAGGGGAGGTTCTACCTATTGGGTTTGGTTTAATTCGCAACTTGAACTTAAAAGAACATAATCTTGCAAATACTAAATCTATGGCCACTGGCCAGTCTCACTAGTGACTGCAGGAAAGCTAAATCAAGCACAATGCAAATAGAATTGAAACTTTGAAAGAAACATTAAGACCCATCCCAGAACTTTTGAGTACAACTTGCCTAGGACCATCTTGGTTACTTTTTTCCTTTGGAAATTAAGCTCAAGCATGCATGTATGTATGCTTTCTCAAGAAGTGGCCAATTTACTTGCAACGATGTCTTCCGCCTCTCAACAACCATAATAAATCGTATAGCTTCATCCATCATCCTCAGCTTGCATGCTCTTTTTCTGGTTGGAGATCCTAGTCTCTCATCCATAATTAAGGAAGCTAGCCCAAAAAAAAGTAAAAAAGAACAGCTATTGATTGCTATAGAGTATTAGACTACATGTTCATACATACATGGCTGTTTTAATTATAAAATTGTCTCCCAAAGGCTAAAGCCAATAAAATATATATAGCATGGGGTCCAAATAGTCTCACAATAATACAACTGCATGCAGACTACAATGGATTCTGCTGTTAGTATTCAAACAGAAAAGATAGACAATAGATCTGCTAATTAATATATGTTTTATTACCCAAAGGGAATCAATTCTTATCTCTTCGAATAAGCTGTCTCACAGTCCAACCCAGATCAATCTTTACACATGCCAGCAGTTCAAGATGATGGGCAAACGTTGTGGTTGATCGACACAGGCCCAGGTTATAATGTTCACGAGACTCTAGAACAGATCTCCCAGATAGTAAATCTTTAAATATTCTTCAACTTTTAGAGTGGCATATATAGAAGCATTTATAGCAACAATTTTTTTATATAGTATCAAGTTGTAAGATTTCCAGTATGAACCCCAAAAATCTCACCTCTTTTCTATTAATTTTTTCGCGAAATTAATATCTTCTCCATTGGATCTTATATATGTAAAATATTTTCTGTAATGGTTATTATAACACGTTTTTTCCAGCAGTTATAATTAGTGCAAAACTCATTAATTTAACCCCAATTACTGGAAAGGGGCACTACAATATAGACAGTATAATAAATCTTGAACCTTGGCGATCAAGTTCAAGAAAATGTTGGAAATTAGCATGTTTTCACTGTACATATACAGAATCCGGGATGAAATTAATGAGACTTCATGAAAACAGAGAGCTGATAGATAGATAACAATGGAAAAAATGGGTCTATTAGTCATGTCTTTCGGTCTTTGAAGATCAACGGGACCACGCAATGCTTAACCCTAGTTGGAAGGCATGTGGAAATGGGGGTCAAATCTGATCAAAACCAGGAGGAAGCCAAGGCCAGGACGGTGACCGTTACATCTCCAGGCTCGAAAAGGTATGGAAGGTGCGGCCAGAGGAAAATGACAACACCGCAGCAACAACCTTATTTACAAAGGTAATATACGTGTCCTAATCAGAATAAATGACAGGAATAATTGGCGCACATATCGCAGATCGAAGAATGTGGCAGTGTCTGTTTACGAATATATATATGTAATTAACATCGAATACTTAAAACTATACTAAGATAAATTAATGGATTAAACTCTACCAGATTAAACTGTTGTGTCACATGACTTTGTTTTTTGCATTATTTTGCATAATGAATCTAACCTTTTGGGGGTAAAAGACTGAAAGGTAGACTGCAACTTTCTAACTATGAATTTGTTTAAGATCAACATTCCAAAACTAGTCTGCAAATTGTATCATACCTTGGTCCTTCCACTTCTTTACTCTCACCGGCTGAATCTAAATTGTGGAAATTCGGGTACCTACATATAGAGGTCATGACCTACAAGATTTGTTGCTAATTTTCAACTTCAATAATTCCTTCGATCGTATTCTCCCATTTGGCTCGGTCTTTGATGGTTGAAAATTTTATGACTTGTTTTGAATACCATATCGATTCCATTTTAATACTAGAATCCAATCATCCCAAGGACCATATTAATTCCTCCGGAAGAAAAACAGATGGCCTAAAGTTTGCATTATTGCATTTTGATTGGAAATCTCTTGACCAAACCCTGACAGATTTTATTGCATTCTTGATTAATAATCAGATGGTTAGCTTATTCGTTTTTGACATTACCATACATATAATAACTATGACCTTAATTCAGTTCATATAATTAATTAGTTCCACGTGGTTAACACTATAAGCTACTATATTCTTCTGTGAAGAGGACTAGGAAACACAGCCAAACTAAGTTACCAAGAAAACCTAATGCATAAAGAAATGACAGGGTATGTGGTTTGGTGTTTTTTAGTAAATACATATAAAGTTGTTAGCTTGTTAACATCTATATTTATTTGCAGCTTAATTTTAGTTAGGAACAGCTTGTATTCTTCAATAATGAATTAATGGTTGTCTTTATACATAGATGCATCAAAACCTTTCCCGAGTAAGTGTCTTAGTTAAGGGCCCTCTCCTAATAAATATTAGGAGTATTATATTTTAATTATTGTCTCATATAATTGAATGATTAGCTCTAAATGTAACACTTTTCAACATATTCGATAAAAAACATATTTTTAAATTAATAATAATTGTAACAAATATCTTTAAAGCTTGTTTGGTCTAGCTTTTCTTAATTTAAAAATTATTATGGAGCTCTTTTAAAAAATAATAACTTTTAAAATTAAGTTAAAATTATTTAATAAGTTGTTTAGTAAAATAAATTATATAAGTTCTAATTTTGGTTAAAATTATCATAAATGGTATTCATTTCATCTTCTATCACTTAATAAGAACAAATATGTTTCAAGTTTATAGACAATTTCAGATATTAAAATCAAAAAAATCTATAAAAAAAATAAAACAACTCTCAAATTTGTATACTAGTAATAATATTTTTTTTTTTTGTGAAGAAGAAAGAAAACTTTTAAATAGTACTTGAATGTAATTTTAAATTTTGAGTTTTTTTTTTCTCTTAATCTTTGTAACAACAACAAAATTCTAAATTTTGCTATTTTGTTATTAGGTTTTTTGTCGATTTTTTCTTTTTTAGTAGTTTTTGTAGAAAGAGGTAGAGAAAAATGAGATCATGATTTTACATTGGAGAAGAGTGATTTACTGAAAGAAAGAGATAAGAGGGAGATTGGAAGGGAGAGAGGAGTATTTTTTGAAATGCTAACGTATTTTAAAAAAAGTAAAAAAAAATCATTTTTAGAGCTTTTTTTTAATTATTTTTTATAAATTTTGTCTTTTAAAAAAAATCCTATATGACTTGGTTTCTGCTTTTAAGAAATAAATAAATTGAAAAAAAAAAACCAAACATGCTTTAATTCTATTTAAAATTCATCATTCAAATTTGTTATTTAAAAATAAGAGTAGTATATATATAATTGATGCCATGGGAGCGGAGGACAACCTTTGGTATTCAGCTTTCAACTTGACCTCAGCAGAATCAAGGATTTTGAAATCACGGAGTGACGCGATGTCGAATCTGTTCCTAGGAATGCCTAATTTAATAGTTAAAAAAGATTCCATGTATTCATATAATGTTAGTGTTTTGGTTATAGCAAGAAATAATTACATAGTATATAGGCATGGTAGACCAAGCCACTTGAATTAAAAAATATAAAAAACTTAATTTTGGGTCCTTTATGAATTGTTTATTGCTTATAATCCTTCTTTCAGGTCCCATCTGAATTGTGCAGACTACAGATTTGCTTTTCTTGGCATCCCATTTCTAACTTAAAAGAGAGGACAATCCTTTTGCCTAATTGCCTTTGATTGAAATTTGTGGGGGTTGCTTCTTTCCCAGCGTCAGTGGGTCAAGCTCATTTAAGAGAAGCCCAGAACCAGGAAGTCCAAGTGAAGGGAAGTGAATTTTACCTTAACCGTCAATTGAACCTTGCTTTTACCCAAAAAATTAAAAGTAACTCCTCTTCATATTTGTATTTGTTTATCAACCATGCTTTCAGGTGAAAATTGCTATGTAAAATTCTTTGACTTTCTTTGGTAGATCAATATATACATACAACACATGTAGGTTGATATATGACTGTATACACATATACACGTACATATATTAATAAAGAAATCTCTCAATCTTTCTTTTAAAACTTTGATAGATAGTATGTCAACATCACCCGGGGTTCCAAGACTTTTTTTTTTTGTTTAATTATGTTAACTAAACTGTGTGCACTAGCAATAAGTAGAAGCAAGAAAATTGAGATGGTGGACTAATTTTCAGAAAGAACACAAGGTATTTCTTGGATCCCCTGCAAAATCATTTGAGTTGGACTTGAATAGAGAAATGGAAAGATGCCAAAATGTGACACAGCTTTCAATCCAAACATCCCTCCACAGTAACACTAACACACGCCGCATTCTCATGATCTTTTCTTGTCTTTCTTCAAATGATTTTTCAGTACAATAAACATACACGTTCTGCATGATCACCAGTAATTAACAGGGAAAAGAAAAGTTTGGTGCATCGTAAGACTTGGTCATGAATGATTTTTACAGTTCCAAGGTTTGGTTGGTTGACTAAGAGAACGTGATTAGAGTAGATACTAGTACCTTAAAATTTCAGAATTCAGTGTTTCGTTCTGAAGGATGGAAAGTTAGCTGAGACCTAACCACTGGCAGGAGAAGAATTAGAAGAGTTTACCTTTTTGGCCTGAAGGCTGAAAGCAACCCATAGCAGACCTCAGGGATAGACAGGGCTTTACTTTTGCACATCCCATTCCCCTTGCGTGTTTACACCAAAATCCTGTTGTTCTAGAATATCGTTGCTTGATTGTGATGATTATGTACTCTTTGAACCAGCAGACTTACCGGTTCTATTGAGAGATGGAAGGCAAAAGTCTGCTGTCTAACGGTCTTCCCCCTGACTGTTTCTCATAGTGGAGTATTAAATTCCCGACACTTAATTTTGACCAAGCATCTGGTGAAGTTGGAGATCTAAAACTGGATCATTCATTAATTGCTTTGCCTGGCAAATGGCAATAAAATTACCCGCAAGCAGAAGAGAATGCAGGGGGCTTCGTTCTTGCGATGAATAATTAATACAGGGGTTCAAAAGTGGATGACAAAGCCAGAATCTTTCTATTTCCACTGTAATTCATCAGAACGCTAAAAAGAAACTATACCTTTACTGTACGCCCTGTAATAATATTTGCCTCGAAATTCTGAAAATGTCGACTGGCTCTTTTCCACGTTTCAGTGTCATGATTTGACATCCAGAGTTTAACTGCAGACCTTTTTACTTTCCTTCTAAACGTACTTCATTTGCTTAATTTCAGCCTTTGGTGCGGACATGTTTGAGATGAGCATGTGCTCCCCGCTGCAAGCCCTGCAACCCCAGCCACATGACTCAGTTTGGAGGTTTGTCGGCATTATGCTCGGATGTAGAAGTAAATGCTGTCTGGCGATCCTGGGATGTTGGAGCTGTTGGAGGGAAGTCTGAATTCTAACCAGACAAGGATAAGGATTCAAGTTCTACAATTGCAGCTGAACATACTGTAATCTGTTTATGTAAATTTTTCGAACTTGTAACCTTATCATTATATGGTTATATACTTAATCAATGAACATGGCTTGCGTGCCTTCAGTTCAAATAACTACTATCACTTAAAATTCTGATAGGAACTAGTGCTAGGCTTTAAGAATTAGAATCCCATAATTCAAAAATTGATGACCCTTTTCTCTATGTCAGTTTCTGTAGCAAAAATGGGATTATATTCATTAGATGAAGAACAAAAGCAGAACTGGAACTGCTACAAATGGGTAGCCACGGCTTGAAACACAAACAAACAAATAAAACAGGGGAAAGCAAAAGAAAAAGTATAAAGTGAATTCTCGAGTAAACTTTATTTACATCATTATTGGATATATCACAAATTCTGAATCTGTTCTTTGTCTGTTAATATATATTGGGATAAAAACCAACTTGCCTTTAAAATATCAAATCCCATCACATCGAAATGCATGACAGAACAAAACATATCTAAGTGGTCCAGGCAAACATAAAAACAAAAGCAAAGTAGCCCTACGCAAATGCTTGGTCTTTCCAGAAAAGTTGATGAGAAAAATAAACCTTTTCAGAGCTCGAATCAACTAAATTCCCCTGGTTCCTTTTTGATACTTTGGCTGGGTCATTTCATAAACCGTTAGGTAAGCATATGGAATCACAAAGTCAGAGAGAAACCAGCGGGGGAAGGATCCAAGAATTATCCTTTAATATTATCATCAAACTATAAAATTCACTAGCAGAAATTCTACTGTATGGAACTTTTAGACCCCCCAAATTTATTGCGATGGCCATATACTTGTACATCGTTTTCCAATTCTGCGCGTGGGAGACATACAAAAAATCGCAAATGAAGGGGCACCGTGACAAAGAACTTTGCAGTCGTTTGAAGCAAGCATACCAAGAAGGGAAAACATTTCTTTCTTTTTGTTTCGTTTTAACAGAGAATTGCTTCAGTTTCTTGGGCAAGAAAACACATGTAAAGAAATCAAACATATTGAGAGATTCAGGTTGCATTCCTTTGCTTGTGGAAGACACTAAACAGATAAATCGTATGTGTCTAAACGTAAAAGACCTGATGGTACAATTTTTGTATGTGAGTTGAAAGCAGGAGCCATAGATTTTCCAGGATCACGTGCATCATCTGCTGCCACTCTCAGCGCAACACATCATCGCCCCAGATTAGCATTTTTTATTTTCCCCACATGTTGAGAATGTATATACTGGTAGCATATACAGCTGGTATGCTACTTACTGAAGATTTTATCATTGCCTTGATGAAAAAAAAAAACACTATCGGATATACTTTCAAGTTCTTTTTTGCTTTTTCCAATGGAGAGAATCTTTTCCTTACAACAACATTGCCAGATTAATGTTTGATTCATTAATTGAATCTTAATCCTTTGTCAGTAGCAATAGGGAATCATTGAAAATTCAACTCAGTTAAGCCAATAATATATATTCTTCTTCAACTAAAAGCTGGGTTTAAATTTTAATCTTGGGCTCATAATATATTTCCTATTTAAAAATTGGATCTATTTGTATGGAGACATAGCAAATATAGTTTCTTGTTAGAATTTAATATTTGCTTTCTTAAAGCCTAACCAAACCAATATCTATATTTGTACAACAGTCACATTTCCTACAAATAATCCTACATCAGCAGTTTAGTTTCTTGACTAACTGGGGTTATAAAAGGGTCATGGGTCCTCCTCACTTTATAGTTTTGCAAATAGAGGCAGACAGTGAGAAAGAGAGAACGAGAGAAAGAGAAGTAGAGAAAGAAAGGAAGATGGGGAGGAGTCCTTGTTGCTCCAAAGAAGGACTCAACAGAGGAGCCTGGACTGCATTGGAAGACAAAATACTTACAGCATACATTAAGGCTCATGGAGAAGGCAAGTGGAGAAATCTCCCCAAGAGAGCTGGTACTATTAATATTAGTATTGTTTTCTTTTAATACTTCATACCTTGCTTGGCCTCCTTTAAGTGGTATCTTTTCCTCTGTTTTCTCTCTGCTTCCTTTTACCATGACCATTCACAAAGACCCAAAGTCAAATTACAGCTGCTCAAAATGGACCAACATTAAGTTGCAATTGATGGTTACGAAATGCAGGTTTGAAGAGGTGTGGCAAGAGTTGTAGACTTAGATGGCTAAATTATCTTCGACCAGATATCAAAAGAGGCAATATCTCCCATGACGAAGAGGAGCTCATAATCAGACTCCATAATCTTCTTGGCAACAGGTTGCTAACTCTCTCCACGTTTCATGTTTTTCTACACGATCGAGTGTTTCATGTATATTTGGTATTCATTGCCTACTTCCTTGGTGTTCCGCAGATGGTCTTTAATAGCTGGAAGGCTACCTGGGCGAACAGACAATGAAATCAAAAACTACTGGAACACCACTTTGGGAAAGAGAGCCAAAGCTCAAGCATCCTCGCCAACATCCACAGAAACTCCCCCGAGCAAATCTAGACATAAAAAGCTAACAACTGAGCCCCAAGTCACCAAGCCCTCAAATTCACCACAGGCTACAGAAACCAAAATCCAAGTGATCCGGACCAAAGCCACTAGGTGCAGCAGCAAAGTCTTGATCCCATTACAGCCACCACCAATTCAAGATATTGACCCATCTGAGCATCAAGATTTTCAACCTTATTTGACAAATCATGAAGAAATAAATAACAATGCGAGTGTTCAAAGCCACCACGGAACCGAATCGCTTGATGCGTTGTATAGTCATGGCCAGGATTTCTTGAACTTTGAAATCAATGATCAGCTGAGAGCAAGCAATGAAGACTCTGAGGAGAATGACATCAACAAGAATCCATCCCTGGATCCTGTGCAACCCCTTGCGTTTGATGAAGCGATGTTCAAGGATTGGACCACAAATCCTTGTCTTGATGACAATGCCGCCATGGATTTAGACTCTTTAGCATTTTTGCTTGAACCAGACGAATGGCCTTGATAGGAGAATCGCTGCTGCAGTTCCAACACAGCAAAAAAAAAAAAGGAAACATGTGAATAAAACAACGGGCCTGTATGTTTCTCTCATAAGTACTGTTACTTTGCCAGTTGCAACTTGCATGTCATGGGCAACCATACTGTAAATTTTAGTAACTTAAATTTTGGAAGTTGAAAACAACTCATCAACGAGTCTGTATGCTAACCTAGTATCTTTCTCATCATTTGATTCAAGTTCCTCATTAACTTATCATGTAATCATAGTGCATATGAAGAGCTCAGTTATTTATCGCAATTCTCTTTATTGGCATGCTATATAAGCGACAGTAAATCTGAAAGCAACTTCCATGTTTTGAAAGAAACGCATAAGCTTTTAGCATGTCTTTTCTAATCAATAATTCTTCGAAGTGCGGAAATTCATGGTGGTTGTCAATTCATTACTGCAATTTCTTCCTGTATTTGTTCTCAAACTTAACTTTCAGCTCCAGCCCAAAGGAGAGAAAAAAAAAGAAAAAAAAAAGAGAAGAACCAATAACAATATTTCCTCGCGGCAATCATGCAAGGTGACTTGACATTTTCCATCCTCGATTGAGTTCTAGCCTCTACGGGGATTGGAAAGTTTTTGTCATAGGGAAAGGAAATTGTGTTAAAAGGGTTCCACAATGATTTTCTTTTCGAATGAAGACAAATACAAATAACAGGGATGAGTGATAACGCCATACCACGGAATCAGAACAACCCCATTTTTATTCACTTGACCTCTCCTGTTAATGGGACCGAAAATCTCTTGCGTATGACAAATGTGCGGTGCAGAGACAATCGCACCATGATATTCACCACTTTGTTCCTGCTCGAATATTACCTACTATTGCTTTACTTCATCGATCTCAAAAAGATGGCAATCATTAAGATCCAAATTGGTTTTGTGCTCTGCCAATTTGCTGGTAAACTAAGCAAGTATGGTCCTTCCCTTGTCTGATTTTTTCAAATTTCTACCGCGACTATAAAATGTTGAGGCATGTGATCACCAAGAAGGAACTGTCATGTTAGGTAAGGACATTTCTTTCAATGCAATTGACCATTAGATGGATCCTTAAGAACCCACCAGGTTTAGTTAAAACTTCTTAACCTGTTTTCAAGGCCCCGATCATATCCTAGGCCAATGGGTCTCGTTCCACCTTGAAATATTGATGCTTATGGTCAGAATTTTTTTACAACTTACACCAAAGTGACGCATTACATAAGAGGCTTTATCTGCAATTCAGCACAATTATTAAACGATTTCAAAGCGGAGATTGTTAGGTCACCAAGCACCCTGACGAAGCTCCGTAGACCCCGCATGTCATTATTTCAATTATTTTTGTGGTTTTTTTTATCTTTAACTGTTAAAAATTAATGCATCCTCGTAGACCTTTAGTATCATTCTATGGTTAAAAACAATATTAGTTTTCTTATTGCACTCATTTCCTCATAGTCACGTTCTCAAATCTCAAGCCTTGAAAGTATAAAAGAAATGGAGAAATTTAATATACCTAATCTGCAAGTCAACGGGGTTGAACTTCTGTAATTTGAGCCAGTTTCACGGGAGATTGTCTCCTTTACGGCATGCTAAAGGGGAACATCAAATTTTTAGGCCATAGATATTAACATGTACGGAGCGGATTGTCTGCCTGTTAAAGAAAACAGTAAACTTCTCTATAACTTCTGCAGTGGTGGCTGTCTATGGTTAGAGCCCAACTACCGGTGATACACCCAGCAAAAGGAAAATGTAAACAAGATACTTGCAAAAGACAAACATTCGGTGTTAACAAATGTCTGGAATAGAACTCAAGAGGGAGGGAAAGCTACCTCAGGATCTTTATGTTTAATGTAGGAAGTTACTGCCCACTATCACGTCTAGGAGGGGCAGGAGCACATTAATTAATTTTGAATAAAACTTAAGGCAATGGCATTGAAGCTTGAAATTTTGTTAACACATTGCGTCTTTGCCCAAGTTATGGGAGCAAATTTCAGTTTGCAGTCTGCAACTCGCTTTTGGGTTTGCCCCACGATTTCATATTATAAGTATTTGGTAATCAATGTTGTCGTATTGATGAATTTTGCCATCGCTGGCCCTATCAGAATGGAGGAAGAAGGGAGAAGAGAAAAAGAAAGGTTGGGTAACATTGACATCAAATGTCATTCGAGCAGAACTCGTTGATTTTCTCAGAAATATGCCTACAACTCTTTTTTCTCTTTTCTTGGTTGAGTGACTGGATTAAGTAACCTTCCTCGACTTTCACATTGCTCTCAACCCAAAAGATAAGCCGTGTAGATCTTTGCCTCCAAAGGAAGAAGTACTTGATTCGCTAACCCAAAGACCATTTCTCCCAGCCAAGTGGAAGTCCCTTTGTTCCACCAGTTAAAGCAAACACCAGAAATGGACATGACGCTCAGTTGTTAGAGGCAAGCTTCACCAAAAGAGGACAGAAATTCAGTTCTTTGCATCAAAGTTGTCTTGCTACTTTAACAACTGGGAATGGCAAGATCATTGATTCTATTATTGACCTTGCGCCTAGTCCCTCACCTAGATCATGTGGATCTCAAGGGGCCTAAGCATGCGACCAAAGAGGCACGTGGTCTGTTCCAAACACTCTTTTCAAATAATAAAGCCACTATTTTCTTACAGGTCATTAATGCTAGTGTTGACAGTAGGAAGACAGTGAAACCCAATTGATCATAGCTTGCTCCTCTGCATTACTATTCCTTTCATCCGGCAGAATAAGATGAGCCTTGATTTGGTTTGTTTCTTTTAATTAAGATGCTGCGGTAAAATCGAATCTAGTGTAACAAACAAAATAACAACCAATCCATCACCATTAATAAGTTATATATCCGATAAGACAAACTACGTCACAGAAGCTTCACTGCTCACTGATATAGTCATGAACAGTTTTTCATCATGTGTCTGCAATAGTGGGAAGAAAAACGTACAGTGTGATGATTTAATTCTTGTCATAAACTTTGTTTTTGAATACTTTCCGAATGTAAAATACCAATTTTAATCATATATGTGCTACAAGGGTTTCAAACAATAGGCATCTGCAACATAAAAGTGAAATCTGGTTCCTATCCTGCGTCAGCTTAGTTGTTGGCCTGCCATGTAAGATTTATAATGGTATTAGCTCTACTCATCCTCATGACCACCCAAAAACTTTCTTAAGTACTTATTCTCATGTTAAATATATGTATATATAGGTATGTATATTTGCGAAACTGTAAACATACAAGTACAAAACCTGGTAAAGATACGCTCTACTCACGCAATTTCCAACGATAGCTCGATGCAGAGTCAAAGCATCATTATTAATCATTATTAAAGATGATAATACAAGTAACCAAAGCCATAACAAATATCTGCAGTCATTTCTTTCTTTTATCTGCAGTATGACTTATAGCAGAAAATCCAACTAACCTTTACAAATTAATAAATGAAAAGACCATTATAAGCCTATTTGCTTGTTTCCATGATCATTGATCCAAATCATTGGAAAATATTTTGCATGTTGTGCCATGAAATACCCCCACCTGCAGCAAAACTACCCTTCACAATTTGAACTACTATGGAAAACTATTGACCTGCAACTCTGAATGATGGTTGATGAGAAAAGCCATAAAGTGGTTGAGAGAAATTACAGTTTCGGCAGAAGCAATACTGCACACACTGGTCCAGGCTGCTGGAGGTCTAAATTCTAAAACAGAAACTTCTAAAGTTAAAAAAAGAAATGGTTACTTTTCCAGATTATAATTGAAATTGAGTGCATGTATTTGACCAAAATACAATGCTACCTAACCTTAGAGCAAAGTAAACGATACATCATAGAAACAGGAAGGCCGTGACAGGGATAGGTTTCACGATTCTCACGTTTGTGGAGTTCCTTCCGCCTTGGAAATAAGACATAGACTATGATTTTCTCGATGATGACAGAGATTCTTCATGATACTGATGTTTCTAATTACATAAAGGAAATAAAAGACAACAATTTTCTAACTCAAGACTGTGTCCTATACCATAGAAATTTTTGGCCGGGGTCGGTATAAAAACCATATGTACTTAATTATAATTAAAATGAGAAAAAAAAATAGTTAAAAGAACCTTTCTCATTGCAAAATATCATAGAAAGTATACAAAATTCAAAGAAACACTGATGTAATTGCAATGTAAAAAAATAACAATGTAATTGCGGAAAAAACATGAATTTCTTTTGATAAGTAAACTAATATTGACTTCAAAGCTAATAATCTTATTGGGCATATGAATGATTAAATATAAATTAAAATCTAACTAATATAAGTTTCATTAAAATAGAATAAAGCATATAAAAATGTTGAAAACTAAAAAGTGAAATATAGGAATTAAAAGAAGGAAAAAAAAAGAAAAGTTACATGTAAATTTGATTTGTATACACCATAGAGCAACTTAAATTTCTTTCATAAGTCCTGGTGCAATAATTAGTGTCAACATATTTATTTCTTTTGATAACACCAACGTTAAAAATAGTAAAAGAAATAAAATTAATAATTAGGTTAGAACTTCAAAAGGGTGGCAAATGATTGTAAACTATTCTATGCCAATTAGAAACTTTCATATGGTGGCGCCATTTCGTAATTTCCTAGACGAGACAAAGTCAGAATTTACTCTTTTTGTTTGAGAAAAAGCCAAGCCAAGCTTTCAAGAGCCGAGGGGAAGCCAGGGCCCCTGCCTAGCTGCAGCTGCCTCCACTTTTAGTATTTCACATGACAAACGCATCCATTATTGCAGCCAAAACAGCAAGAAAACTATGACTATGATATAGGAACCATACCTGATATAGAAAACAAGCTCACCACTTCAATTAAGAAGCTTGACACTTTACATCAACAAAGGGCCTTTCTGTCGATGAACTTTTCATAAGACAAAAGGTCACTGACTTTCAGTAATAAACTAAAATTTCGAGAAGAATTAAGAAACATCCACACATTGTCTTCCAAAGTGACTAAAAATGTATTCCTAAACAAGCTGATTCAAGAAACATCTTCATTGCTTTACCCAGACCTCCTCTGAATCCCAAGACTCTAGGAACATCTTCACTCTGCCTCTATAATGATAACTCAAGTGATTATGGTAGGTTAACTAATCCCCACTTTTCTCTGTTCGAAAGGGCGATGATTTTGACTAATTGATGCGAGGTTGACTAATGGCCTGCCCATGATGAACATTTGAACATGCAAACTTTAAAGAACAAAGAGGAAAGACACTTAAAAAATGAGATAAACACACCAAATTAATAGACAATATAAGTCAAAAACAGATTTTCAAGGACCCATAAATGTTAATGTTACTGCAAACACATCGCACCGCAATAGTTTTCAACATAGGTCCTAATAGAGTAATAGTTCCACCTAGATGCAGCTTTGCATATGCAGGACTGACAAAGTATTCTATGTGAAGTTTTGGTGCAATATTTTTCAATTACTCTACCGAAGACTTCACAACGGAGAAAAAATGTTTCGTTTCTCTTTTTGACCAATAAATTTTCACTTCCTTCGAGAGAAGGAAATTTCCTAGGACAAGGAATCCACACCATTCTACAGGTTTAAAAACAAAACTTAAAAACTCTTAATGACTTGCAACTTGTTATTGAAACTTTTTCAATCCAATAATTGAGGCTGCATGAAATTTGATTGGTGAAAGACAAAAGAGACCGTTGGTCCAATCAAAGAACGTTTACCCGAGACAAAACTCCCTAGTTTAGACTCAAAACTGCAATTTTCTGAAATGACAGCGTCGTAACAACTAAGGAGCAAAGAAAGCTTTATTTACTTACCCGTTTCAACTGTAGCAGCAACCTGAATGCTGAAGCTTAGGCGGCACCGGAGCTTGATCTTGTTCAAATTTGATAGAATCAAATCGAACAAATGTTACAAACCAGTTGACTTCCCATAGACGGTTTTGCTTTGTGCTTTCCAGTTTCCAATGATTCTTTGCTTTGATTTGATTTGATTTGATTGGATTCTATCGTTGCCCATAGACGATAACCCGAAGCCCAGTATCATGCGAATGCAAGTCTCTCGAGCCTGGACTGCTGGGCCAAGCCCATGGACCCTGTGTGATTGTGGTCAGGTCACGACTTATCGATACAACCACGATTGGGATTCTTCATTACCAAGTAATCCCTCTTATTTAAGGGAGTGTATCAATCGATTTCAGCCAGTTCAATTTTAATAGAAATCAAAATTGACGAAATTGATGAGAAATTTGAACCGATCAAAACTTATCGATTATAAGAAAAAATCAACCAATGAAAGCCAACCTCGATTTCGATCGATTGAAAGTTCAAGTGAACATGAACATGAAAGTAATCATTAAAATAAGTCACACGATAACAATAAACAGATTTTGAAACAGAGATGACCAACAGCAAGGAAAACAAAGATGACCAACAGTAAGGAAAATGATAGATGCTGGCAAGAGGAGATGATAGAGAGCACCAAACAAAGGAAAGAAGACGGAAGAAAGAAAGGGAAGAAAAAAAGCAGTGAGGGACTAATGAAGCTTATTAACGCCCCTCCCCTTGGTTTTTCGATCAATCCGATTGAGCGGAGAGTGCCCCGACCATTGAATAGCGGTGGTCTCAATCCCTGTCGATCACAACAACCGTCATCGAATAATTAAGTTGATGCTATTGTAGTTAGTTATAATCAGTTACTCGATTGTAACCGATCAATACTTTGTCTTACTTGATGGTGATATCTTTAACATGAAAGCTAATGCATTGTTTATTACAAAAAGAAAAAAAATATTAGTTATATTTTTACTGATAATTATAGGTAAATATGTTCAATTGAGTGCATTTAATAAAACATTTGTCGATATGCCTACTTTAAACATTTTTATTAAAAGTAATGATTGTAATTAATTGAAAATGTAACATGTGTTTAGAGTTAAAATATATATATATATTTATATGAAAGGGAAATGGGTAAAAGTTAAAAAAGGTTTTGTTAATAAATGTTATTGAATAATATCTTCTTTAAATATATTAAAAATTATCATATTGATTATCAATTATTGCATTTATTATAAAATATTACTATAAATAATATTTTTATTTAATTGACATTCAAAGTTAAATGATATGTTAAGACGGTAAATTCCTTAGGTGGTCTAGGTAGTTGGGTTGATGTAACAAATTAATTGAGGTAAATCTTTGTCACCAATTTAAAGAGAGAATGAGAAATAAATAGAAGGATATTAAAGATTCAATGACTGAACTCACACATCTTTATCTTCTAATTTTTTTTTATCAAATTGAAATTTTATGTTCAAACCTCATACTTTTTTTTTTCATTATTTAAAGATTCTTCACTTTCTCTATTTCTCTCTATTAATTGATTGCAAGCAATAAAAATAAAAATATATTTAAAAAAACATAAATATTCACACTCATACACATTATTTATCTTAAAATTTAAATCTATAATACTTATGATTTGTAGTATTTGTTTTTAAATTTAAAATCTATAATACTTCAAAATTTACAAAAAAAAAATTATTTTTGCGTAATGCGTATTTTCTTCAAATTTAAGAAAGAATAATACAATAAATATAAAAACATTATAATCAATCAATAGCCTTAACCCATGTTAATTTCTAATAATTATATTTATCTATGATTTATTAATGGATTATTCACATTTGTATCCTAATTGTGTGGCAAACAACGTATTCAGACTCAATCCCAAATTAACCTCTGTGCTCTTTTATATATATATATATTCGGAAGAACCCGCTTCTAAAAGGCTGGTGGTAATCACTCCGTGCCCGCCCCGTGATATGAAACCATTTTTTCCCAATTCTAACGAGCAGAACCCCCAATTTCTCCCAATTCGTACGCACAACCAGATCGCTCTTCTTTAACCCTCCTTTCGTCTCCGGACTAATCGAGAAACTGAGTCTACAATTCGACTCGCCGCTTCCAACTCAGCCATGTCGGTCCGCTTCAAATTCAGAAGCTCGCCTAACTACGACTCGGTCGACATTGGGGACCGGCCTTCAATTTCAGTTCGTGATCTCAAATCCAGAATCGTCCAAAACAAGAAACTCAATCTTTGTCAAGATTTCGATCTCCTCTTCTCTGATCCTATCTCCGGTCAAGGTCACCTCTCCCGCTCTCTGCTTTAATACTATTTTCTGTTTTTTCGTTTTCTCTTCATGTTATATAGCAACAAGAATTAACGTATAACTCAAGTTCGTAATTATGGTAAGCTCATGAATTACACGGAACTGGAATTTTATATGGAAGATTGATTTTCTGTAGCCAAACGTGGCCTTGTATTAGTTTCAGAACAAACTTAGACTGATTGGTTGACAATTGGTTGTTTGATGGATTTAATGTAGAATACGTGGATGACGATTTTCAAATTCCTCGTGGTTCGAGTGTGATCATAAAAAGAGTTCCTGCGGGGTTAGTCCCTTTTCAGTCGAGTTTAATTTTATGTTCAAATTTTAACATGTGACATTTTATTGTGGTTCCTTACCTATGATGCTGATGCTGTGCAGGGAACGTGCTGGCTCACTTGAAAATTTTGCAACCAGAGACGCCAATATTAGCAAAACCTCTCATCCAGAGGTGAGTTTTATGCCTTCTATCCATTGCAACTAACTATTTGTCTTGGGAGAAAATAATTGCATAATTTTATGTTGATACGAAATAAATAGATCCAATCACAAACTTTTTTGGTACATACATATGGCAGCCTTAAAATAAGTTTTTCTGCTTCGTTTAGTTTCACCTTTTTTTAAGTAATGGCATAATATTCATTTTACAGAATGTGGAAACTGTTAACTTTGATGACTTTGGGGCAGAATTATGCCCTGTACCTGAGGCAAACTTATCTGGCATTGGTCTTGATATTGAGAACAAATTTTGTGTTGGTGATGAGGAGATAAATATCAAATTAAAAAGGTATCAACCCTTGTATTTCTAGTCTCTGTAAATTCATTATTTAATCATTTTATTTATGATTGTACTATTAGTATAGAACAGTACTATTATTCTTCTCTTGTAAATGTATTTTTTCTTTTTATGAATTCAGGTGCACTGAGCAACCTGTGGTAGAATGTCATAAATTTGAAGTGAGTGACATTAGTGAGGCCATCCCACAAGGTGTGGAATGTTTCATTTTCCTTGGCTACCCCTCCTTTATATGAAAGGCCTTTTGTTAAAAAAAAGTTTTGACTTACCTTGCTGCTATTCATATATCAGGTCAGAAAGAGTCAGAGACAAAATCTAAACCTGACATTGAACTGAATACTAAACAGTCTGAGTAAGAGATTTTGTCCCCTCAGTTATCTTATTGTCATTATTTAGTCTCAAGATCTGCCTTTCTTTTTTCTTGTTTCACTTTTAAATGTTCTGTCGATGTTGAAAGAGTTGTAATTGTCAGTTTTCGAGCAATGCAAACTGCTGATTTTCCGTCAGAGCTGAAATGCTCTCTTTGTGACACATTCTTTAAGGAGGCTGTTATGATACCCTGCTGCCAGCACAGTTTCTGCGAGAAATGTAAGTATCTTGCAGTGTAGTTGGTTGATTTCAGGACATCTTTGCTTGTTTTTTTTTTCTATGCATTGTAAGTGGATACTTCTTAAATTTTATTAATATCGGAAGAAAAATTGGGTACAAAATGCTCTCTAGCTCCAGGGTACTTGTTTCTTGTACGAAATTTTAGTGCGATATGGTTGTTTACTGTTCACATGTTGTCTCCTATCCTGATGATGGTGTTTGGTTGCAGGCATCTGTCATGTGCTGGTTGAGAAGGCAAGGTGTCCCAAATGCTTTTCTACCAAATGCAAAGTGGAAGATTTGTTACCCAATGTGTCACTGAGGCAAGCAATTGAGCGTTTCCTGAAGTCCCAAATTCTAGTTAATGGTTCGGAAAATGCTTTGCATCGAGATGCTCCAGGTATGAAACTAATATATTCTATACTTTTTGTTCTTGCATCGTTGCCAGGACATTGAATAATTGCTCAATAATCCAAAAACAGATAGAGAGTCAGGAATTCAAGTGAATGATGTTTCTCGTGTTGTCCCTGTCCTTCAAAGAGGAGCAGAGCTGCGTCCTTCTCCCTCTGCAACAGGGAGGGGATCCAATCAATATCCTGCAGAATCGGTGGGTGGCACAGGTTCTCATGTCAATTCCAATCATTTTCTTAAAGATAAAATCTCTAAATTGCCTGTTCACAAGATGCAGCGACTCCCTGTAGGCCTGGAAGGTTTTGCTGATTTTCAGGGGGAAAACCAGCCCATTAACGAGGAAGGTATAATCTTAAGTTCTCAAGCAATTTGCATAATGATTCTGTGACTATAGTCTTTTAGCTTCTAGCAGCTTAAGATTCAAAACATGATGCTAAATATACTGATTTTAATATGACTACTTCATATATCGTATTTTATTATCTATTTTCTTCATTCTTGGAACTTTAAATTCTTTATCTTGTGTAACTACAGCTGAATCGAATGTCAAGAGGAAGAAGGTGTTGGGGGTTATCACTCCAGGTAGAACATTTAACTTAATTTTAGAGACTTAACCCAACTCTAATGTAGACGTGATATCTGTGTATGTCTTCTGTGTTCTGAGTAACTTGGTGTTACTGGCAGATGCAGAGAAGGGTTATGTGGAGACTGGAAGACTCAAAAAGGTAATATGTTTGTCTATCATCTCCTTGAACTGAATGTAATCATCACTTGACATGCCTAAGCATGCAGCATGATCTACCTTGAAGTTACACACACACATATTCGTTCCAGAAATTATTTTTGATGGGCTGTTTCAATAATAGTTGTTGTTCATATGTTATCTGTCTGGATGTGTCTCAATTTTGTGCCATTCTTCTGGGTCCAAATGCCAGTCACACATCAGGAATATGTGTTGCATGTATTCTCAGTTTTCACCTTCTTAAATGTTAGGTTTCTGCAAAATGATTAAGTGTTGCATTTCATAACGTTGAACTCTATTTTTTCACTGTCCAGATTAACTTTCTAGTTTGTTATCTGTTTGTTTCATTTTTGCAATATTTCAAATGATAGTGCTGTGGAATAATTATTTACCTGATTGAATTCAGGGGGACCGTGTCTGCTACATGTGTGGTTCTCCTGGTCATTTGAGGAGATATTGCCCAGCTGTCTCCAGTCCACATCCTATGCTTCAAAGAGGTAAATGCTGGATATTTGGCTGTTATTATATTTGTTTCTATTTACTGTGCAAGGCTCATTTTTGTGTTTACGTCTTACTGGGATTATAGGAAATGGTATGTTTCCAGGAGCCATGCCTGGTTATGCATCACCATACTGGAATGGACCTCCGTTTCCCAATATCAGGCCATTTGCAAACCCATATGGCTACTCTGGTATGATGCCTTTCAATCCAACAGTGGTTCCTGCTTCACCTTTTCATGTTCCTACATACATGCCGTCTATGTTTGGTGGGCTACCTGCCTTCCGGTAAGTCCATTTATTTTTTCATAATGCCTTATAAAACATGTCTTGCATTTATTGTGTCATGGGTCTGGTTTTGAAACTGGGGCATTTTGCAGGGGATTTACAAGGATCGGAGGCATAGCACCTGCAGTGAAAAATAATGTAGAACACCGACTATTTCATTTCGAGTTGGATGTTCAAGATTATGATAAGGGACCCCAGGATGCCATGAGGTATATATTCTTTCCCGTATTAAGCAACAACTTTGTGTACAAATACTTAGAATTTTAACCTCGTATGACTCTTTTTCTGTTAATTTTGGTTAATAAACAGTTTTTCAGCATCTATTTCTGGATTTAATTGGTGTCTAAAAGTTTATTCTTTGTTGCATTTTAAACTAATTTCAATTATGGGAAAATGTCTGAAGAAAGTTGTACCAAGATCCCTCCTTTTCTCTCTTTAAAGCTTTGATATGGAAAGTCGCATTATCATTATCAACACTTAAATTGTAGTTTTATTAAGGCATATCTTTTCTCTTCTTATATGCTAATTTTCTGTGCATCAGAAAACACTTTTATGATGAGGATGATGTTAAAAGACGTCAGTGTGATGAGGCACAAAGACCGCGTGATAAAAACTTTTATCCTGAGAGCGAAAGGAGTGCAAGCTACTCTGAAGACAGCTTTACAAAAAGGTCACTTATGAAACGTAGGCATCCACATACCATTGATGATGATGCTTATTCTGATGACGAAAGACATGAGAAAAGTTCTCACGTTGCTGGTCAAAATTGGAGGCCTTATCATCACTCAGAGAGGTCAAGGTCAGAAGTAGATGATTTGCCTAGTAGCTCCAGTTGGCATAGTGAGGAGAGACATAAACGTGGTCATAGGAGCTCCAAAAAGCATAATGACTGCAGAGAGCAGTGTGACAGTGATTCTAGTTGGAGCCATCATCCAACCAATAAAGAGAAAGAAGCAAAAAGGACAGTTAAGCGTGATGCTGAGAGACAGCACCAGAAACATTACAGTCACTCTGAATCTAGTTTGGAGCCAAACCATTCCACTGACCAGAAAACGAAAAGAAGGGAGAAAGGTTCTAGCCAAAGTTGCAGGCATTCTGGGTACAAAACAAAAACAACACGACGCGACAATTTGAGTCATGATAGGTGGCAGATGGCCAGCAGGTCAGAGGAAGACAATCGAGAGGACTATCACCATTATAAAAGGAAAAGGGTATACTAAACAAGCAACAGATCTGATTTTTGAGGTAAATATGTATATGAAGTTGCATGTCAGAATTTAGGTGATAAATCTGGTATTAAATTTCCTTTCCAGTGAGGTAAATGTATTAACTTGGTTTACTACTAGTTCCATATTATTGCTTTTTATATGTTTAAAATAAGGATTTAGCACATTGCACTGGACGAACACAGGGCTGTTCCTTTCTAATTTTGATTCTCTGTTGGTTTTCTTGATACAGATCTAGTTGAGTGGTCGGCTTTTGGACAGTAGCTTCATGGATTTTTTTTAAAATATCTTCTACTAACCATGTTTGCATTTCTAGCTTGTGCTGTGGAGGCAAGCGACAGGAAAGAGGAGCATTGCGTAAGTTAAATTTTAGGTTCGGATACTTTAATGCTTTGCCCAAATTTCTTTCAGAAATTGATGAAGCTGATGAAGGTATGTTTCTTTTCCTAGAAAAATGAAAATATGAAAATGAGGGGGAAAAAAAAGACACGAGACCCCTGATGGCTGGTTAATATTTCTTCACCAAGTTGCGTCTGTGCACTATGCACTTTATATAGCAACTTCGTAAATGCTATAATCCGGCTACCAAAGGAGCTGATTGAGTTTTTCTATTTTTTGCACGAATGAGTGGGCCGTATAATCCGTTTTAGGTTGTCCATGGGCCCATGTGATTTCTTTGTCAGATTTAATGCACGTAGTCGAATTTTTTCTTGAAAAGAAAAAGAGTTTTGGGCGCGATGACTAAAATATTGGTTCTTTTCGCGTTCAAGGTCTGATTTTTTGCAAGCTTTACTCCTTAAATTATTTTCATATTTTTCTATAAAAGCAGAAGTGAAATACGAAGTAATATATTTGATTTTGACTAATTGTTTTAAATGCAGATATCATATTTTATGCTGGCAATAAAATCTATTTATAATTTTAATTTTTTAACATTTTAAAAGTATATTTATATTTGTAAACATTGGTTTTATGGTCTCTTTGATCTGTCTTTCTTGTGCTTTAAAATTTTTTTAAAAAATTTATTCTCTTTCAACTTTTTTAATATATATATGTATATATTTCAAAATGGTTATGATTTAGATTTCATAATGCGTCTTCGCTCCTGGTCCTGGTGACATATCTATCATTTGCTTTGTTTTGTTGATCTAGAGTCTGATGCTTGTTGGAACATCACAAATTCACAAATAACAAAAAATATACAAATATATATACCCCCCTCCCTCCCCTTTCAAGAAAAAAAACAAAAGGCCCCTAATTAGGTGGCTGTTAAGGCTGCAAGAACTCCTGCACTCCTTATATTTTAGTCAAAGTTTTCCCATTTTGATCTTAATTGTTTTAAATATTTGATTAAATTAAATTTTAATAAATATATAAAAAAATAATTTATATATTTATGATTTTGTGAGGGAAGTTTTCAACATTCTAGTTAATAATAATTTATAAATAAAAAGTGATTACCCTTGAATAAAAAAATTTGGTTAACACTTTTTTATACGCCATTTTCGTAACATGGTAATAATGCTTGTCGGACACCTTGAATGTGGTCAGTCTAGGGCTTCAGTTTCTATGAACGGTCCGAAGGTCACGTCGATAATATTTCGTTGATTTGTCTTTTGTTTCCAACACTTGCATGTGCATGTCATCAATTTTGCGTTTTATAAAAGTTCTTCCTTTTTACTTCTATCTTGTGATTTTCGCCGTCAGTATTATAGTCATGACTCACATCAGTAAGAATGCAAAGTACTACCTTAAAATATTGTCAGTCTGTCTTTGGAATATCGTTAGTTTTTTAACCAAAATAAGATATAATTATAATAACAAGTAGAATTGAATATTAGAGAAATTTCCTCAGTTTGAAGTTTCAGAAAGGGAGGGATAACAGGCCGCCCCCACCCCGACCATTTTTTTCTTATTTTAAAGGAGACGGTGGTTTATGAGTCTAAAATGTTCTTTGGTGTCATAGTGTTTTGCTATGTTACCACGTGAAACTGGAAACCATGGTTTTTTCTGATGAAAATGATATTAATTTTTGGTATGTTTAATTCTATGTAATCCGTTATAAATGTGGTTCTTAGAATTGGGTTAACATTTCTTTTATCAAGATGTGAAATAGATTCTTCTTTTTCTAAAATGAAAGAAAAAAAGGTTCCGTTTTTTCCTCGTGAGGGTGGGCTAATCTCAAAAAATCAAAAATTGTTTTTGTTTTTTTATGAAAATTTCACTTACAAAGTTACCTACGTTCACCCACAGTGTGCTGAAAAGGGAGGTTATTCGTGTGAGAAACCTGTAAGGTCTCCTATATTCGACATAGATTGCATGCTTATGAAATACATAGTTCTGTATAATTGGTGGTGATTATCGTTCAAATGCAGGGTCCTTGATACGTAAGAGGGATGATGGTAGCAATTCTTTTGAGCCGAGTTCGTGTAAAAATCAATATTCAGATTTTTCATGAAAATTATAGGCTTTAATCCTCTTATATATATATAGACAGAAAGAAAGAATAAAAATACATCCCTATCGAGCAAGGGCGATGGATAACACGATGGACAGTATAAACCATCCCAGTATGAAATATCCCACCATTCTGGTTGGACCCACGTCTTCTGGTTCCTGTAACCAAAACGGAAAAACTCTCTTATATGGTTTAAATTTTAAAAGTAGTAGCACCATAATTTAGCCAAGAATTTCTCGTAAACTCTCTTGGGCTTCAGCGTGCTAGTATCATGGACTTGATTGACTCGGAATTCAAAGGCAAAAAAATACTTAAAATTATAAATTTCATTTTTTTCATGTTCACCTAATATGAAAAACTCAAATACAAGGGCAAAAAATATTTTAAGCTTTCGATTTTTGTTTTCAAATTTCAAGGTTTTTGCAATTTTCTGTGTTTCTTTTTTTGTCCCTTGTTTTTGGTATTTTTATGTGGGAAAGATGGAAGCGGTAAGAATCTGTCTGCCTACTCCCACGGAAATCCTTCCATTATTTTTTTTCAAAACCAGGAAAAGGAAAAATAATAAATTTAAAGAATAATACTCTTCCTGATCAAAATTAAAATTAAAGTTGATTATTGGAAGGTTTAGGATTAGGTTCGTACCTGTGGTGGAGGTTCCTGCGTAGGAGTTTGGGTGATGTCCTCCTCAAAAGGCCAAGCATACCTGTCCGGTTCTTCGGTTCTTGCCAAGCTCCAATCATACATTCTTCTTTCTTCCACGGAGGACAAAATCAAGTAAGATTCCTGAGAACAAAATGGTGGATTTTCAGCTTCTAGTTATTGAGGTGTAAATCATATGAGACGTAAAAATTTTAAAAGTGCCACGTTATCTTGACCGACTTTTAAGAGGTCCATTTTCTTGCTGAGTTCTTCTTCATCCAGCCCCTGCTTCAGGAGTTCGTCTACCTTGTTTTCGTAAGCCACCGTGACCTGGAAAAGCAACGGGACATGAGTACGAAATGAGGAAGAAAGTGCAAAAAAGAAAAAAGAAGAAGAGAGTTTGTCAGAATTAAGGGACTAAAATTTATGGTGGTGATTTGAGAAGGGACCTGTTCGTAAGAGCATTTTCTTTGAAGCCCAAGCCTACCGTAGTGATCTGCATCTGTTATTGCTGCATTCTACCCTAAACCTCATCAATTAAGTGCAGTCTTTTTTTCTGAGCAGTAATGGTGAATGCACAAGGATTTTAAACAGTACAGAAAACACCTAAATCTTCTCAGAATTACAAGATAAAAGCGCTGATGATGATTTACCAATGCCACGAAGAGCCCGTTCAACATTATGAGCAGAGATCAAAGAAGGAGGTCCTTTCGGAGCTTCAATGGATTGTTCTGATTCTGCTTCGGTTGCTGGTGTCTCGGATGATACATCACCCGAGCTCCTAATGCTAAGTCTTCTCTGCCTTGTTGCAAAACCGATGGAACTTGACAACATAGAGCCGTTTTTGGGCGTTGGTGCATGAAGATCCTTGCGGGGCAAATACAGTGTTGCAGCTGTGGATGAAAGAGCCATGACTGTGTGCGGTAATCTGTTACTCGACTCCGATGGTTCTCGTTATTAGTTTTCTATTGCCGTTTCGAGGGAGGGATAAGATATGGCCCTCTAGCTAAAGGAATACTATCTTCACTTAATTCTCAATATATTAAGTTAAAATTCGCACCCAAATGTCAACTGGTCGTTGTAGTATAGTGGTAAGTATTCCCGCCTGTCACGCGGGTGACCCGGGTTCGATCCCCGGCAACGGCGAAACTAGTTTTGGTTTTTTTTTGAATTTTTTAACTTCTTTTTTTCTGCTTAGAAACGAGATCGTTTTGTTTGTTTTTCTCCAATCTCTGTTCCATGTCTGTGCCTCTATGCTCTTCCATTTGAAAAGAAACTCGATTCGTTTGGAACAAATCCAGACAGCAAAACTGAAACAGAGATGGGATTAGGGAGAAATGACTCACCCGGGTCAGGCGACCCGGGACCAAGTGGGGAATCGGAGCCCTCCACCACGACGGAACCACGACGATTCCCTTTGGCAGCTCAGCCAGAGATAATGAGAGCAGCGGAGAAAGACGACCAATACGCTTCCTTCGTATACGACGCCTGTCGCGACGCCTTTCGCCACCTCTTCGGTATATAATTTTGTCATATGCATTCAATTTTCTCTGTTTTCTTCAGTATTGCTAGTAAAAGATTTATCAAATTTTTCTAGGTACGAGAGTTGCAGTGGCTTATCAGAATGAGGTTACTTCTAAATCTCATTTCCGAATAACTCACTAAAATTTTTTAGAATTTTTTAGTTTTAATTTTGTTTAATTTATTATGCAGACAAAACTTCTGGGGCAGATGCTTTACTATGTTTTAACAACTGGTTCTGGACAGCAAACACTAGGAGAAGAATACTGTGACATCACTCAGGTTTCTCCTTTTTGAAAAGAAATGAATTAGTTGTAGAGTTTGTCAATCTGAATTCATCTTTTAGTATCTTACACTTAATTGATTATCTGATAGTTGATATGGTGTTTTGTTAGGTTGCAGGACCCCATGGCCTTTCCCCAACACCAGCTAGACGTGCTCTTTTCATCGTGTATCAGACTGCGGTCCCTTATATTGCAGAAAGAATTAGGTTTAAATTGAAGCTTTTCTTTCCTTTTGGTTTTCGTTACACGCTTCTGTATTTCATTTTTGGTGCTAATGGACTATCTGAAACTTTGTCGGAATTTGAGATATCTGAATTCTTCCTTTTGCAGCTCTAGGATTGCATCCCGTGGTATAACCCTTGCTGAGTTACAGACTGATGAGTTCTACAGTAACAATGCTTCTGATAGGAGTCAAGTAGAGTCGTCCACGGGGATTGAAATTTCATTACCCTTAGAATCAAGGGATTCAGTTTCTGCACTGTCGAGGTTGAAAGAGAAACTTAATGGAATGTGGTTGCATGCAGTTCAGAGATGGCCAGCAGTATGAAAATTATTATTTTTACTTTGGAAAGAGTTCATTTCTTTTGTATAAACTATTTGTTGTTTTTTTCATCTGTTTAACTTTTTTTTTTCTGGGGATCTTTGTCACAAACATAACATAATTCTTTTTAGGTAATTTTTTTTCTTCCTTGAGGTAGTGTTTTAGATGAATATGTTTTGGTGCTGTTACATAGGTGCTGCCTATAGCTCGTGAAGTCTTGCAATTGCTTCTACGTGCTAACCTCATGTTCTTCTACTTTGAAGGTATGTGGAGCTTACTCTTCTAGATTTGTTAAAGTTTTGAAGGGGAACTTTAGTCATCTTAATAATTTTAATTTTCCCTTGGCAGGTCTCTATTATCATATATCAAAACGTGCAGCTGGCATTCGCTATGTGTTCATTGGGAAGCCATCAAATCAAAGGCCCAGGTATGTGGTTTTCTACTTGCTTCTAGATATCTTGTTTGCTTTCATGTGGTTTCTCTTGTTTGCATTTTTAGAGCTCAACCTCACATAAGGAAAAGTTGGAGTGTATTCTTTGCAAAATCGTCTAACCTTTTTCACTGCCTTCAACTGCAGGTACCAAATCCTGGGTGTGTTCCTTTTAATTCAACTGTGCATCCTTGCTGCTGAAGGTCTGAGACGCAGCAACTTATCTTCAATTGCAAGTTCAATTCATCAGACCTCATTAGGGTCCCATCAAAATACAACAGGTTATTTTGCATCAAGTCACCTTACAGTGCTCGCATAAACTTGCAGGCCTTCAAAATTAAAAACCTTACATTGTGCCATATTCATGACGGTCACCTACAGTTTGATAATTTGAAATTTGTTCCTTGCCTATAAGTTGAATCCATTTGGATTGTTGCAAGAATGAATTTTGACTTATCTGTACCGAAGACATCAGTTCAATCAGCTGAAATATGGAGTCTGGGCTCTTGGCTTGTATTAATATGTAGTGAAGCTCTTGAAATAGCTGATAGTCAAACCTACTATTTTTAGGCACTAGGAAATCCATGTTTCAGACATTTTTCTATCCTCATTCCAAACAGTGGTGCCATGGGAGATTAACATGTGTTATTTTGACACATTGTTGTCTGGGCATGTAGGACGTGGTTTGCCTGTTTTAAATGAAGAAGGCATCTTGATACCTGTAGAGGCTGACCAGGGCAGTTGGGTTGGGGAATCAACTTCAGAGGTAAATTGTCTAGTTTCTTTCCAAGTATTCCGATTATGTATGTTGTTTTCATCATCTTCTATATTTGTTTTCTAGTTTCATATTCGTTGTAAGAAATAGCTAGATTAAGAGATCATAAATAGCAGGCAAGATCGAGGATAGGGTATTTGTGTTACTAATTGATGGCGGGGTGTAATTGATCATTAGTTTTAAGCTAGAATATAGCGTTGATCTCGTCATAAAAGGATGTGTTATTGATAGATGCCAAAACTTGAGAGCTCTTCCCAGGGAGAGTTGCTTTAAGTAACCTAACTGCTTACCTTCAATTTAGTTAGACCTATTTATTATTAGATGCTAATCATGGGATTATTTTGGTTAACGTAAAGTACTGCTGGAGTGTTTTCCTAGTTGCCTAGACTTTGCTGGATGATGACTTATAATGCTCAAAACCTGCTTCTGCCACATGGAATGGTTTGTTCTTTGAGCTTGTTGCAGAAATGCCACCTTCTGCAGATGAAGATTGATTGGGCTACTATAGATAGGACCTCTTTAGAAAATATTAGACTGTGTTCTAAATAAATTAGCAGCAAAATAATTAACTATGCTGCTGATTTGTGCAAATTCAGTCAACCGTTGGTCTCAGCAAATGCACCTTGTGCCTGAGCAATCGTCAACACCCGACAGCTACACCATGCGGTCATGTATTCTGCTGGTACTTTTTTCTGTGCACCTAAAGACTCTTTTCTGTGCATTCTATGTCAGCAGAAACGACAATAATTCTTATATCATCATCTGTCTGCAGGAACTGCATCATGGAATGGTGCAATGAGAAGCCTGAATGCCCACTCTGCCGCACTCCCATAACTCATTCAAGTCTGGTTTGTTTATACCATTCAGACTTCTAGCTCGCGATTACAAGTGCTGCCCAAGTTAACACCCAAGGAGAGAACAAATTGAAAGCAGCCCACTTGTCCTCCTGCTTTGCTTATGCAAAGAAATTTTGAAGTGTACCAAAGATTAAGGGTTAGTATGTTGATCGCCACGCCGGGATTGTAATTTTAGTTATATCTAACCAAGGCCAGGAGCTTTTCAATTAACCATTATGATAGACAATTTCCCCCCCTCGCTTCTAAACTAAGATGGGGGGGAATATCTGCATAGACCAGGTCTGGCAAATTGTAATGTACCAATAAAGCAGTGTATTTCCTTCACCAATAATTTCATATAGGGTAAATTACAAAGATCCCTTTAAAATTTGATTGAGAATATATTTATCTCTATTTAATTTTAAACAATACTTTCTTACCCTTTGTTGAGATTGGATTGAAAATGCATTTCTCTTCCTTAAAAAGCAATAGTGCTAATTTTTATTTTAAGTATAAAAAATTGTGAGATTTAATTAATTATAAATTCGGTTGATTATATATGATAACGCATCAGTGCTCTCTAAAACAATGCATAACATTATTTTCCGAAGGCAAAATAATAATAATAATAAAAAAGAAACCTTTCTCAAATTTGGTTATGTAATGATTATGGAATTCCAAACTTATGTTTTAACCGTCTAATTGGCTGGTCCTCATGACCCATCATCCAACGCCACCTCACAAGCGACTTCAAACTTTTCATCATACACCGTCCACGTCACACACCAATATCTGATAAGAACCGTCAGATTAAACCTTCTCGTTATGGCTACTATATAAGCCTCAGCAGTATTATTAGGGTTTCGATTTCAGTGGACTGTAATCTCCCAAAGCGGCGAAGCATCCCGACTTTGCATTTCTCTCGTTTAGATTCGGTTCGCCTGAAAAACATGACTACTCAGATTAGCAAGAAGCGCAAGGTTCGTTCTTTTACTTTCTTTCTTTCACTTTACGTTTCTTTTTCCAGAATTTCTTCAAATTTTGAACTCAGTTTCGCTGCTTTTTTTATTTTGAAAGGTGAACTCAGTTTCGTGGCTAAGTAGGAAGAATAATAATTTTTACTATTTGTACCTTATTATACGGCGAAGTACTTAGGTTCACTGAAGTAATTCTTGGTAGTTTTGTTTCTTATAGTTCTTTGATTAGGAAGATATCAGATATGATGTTTATATGTATCAGATTTGTTCGAAACCGAAAATGACTCTTGTTTGGTTATAAATATTACAAGGTTGTCCCCGTGAATGTGAGTTGAAAAAAATGGAAACTATATTTCAGTGGGGTGGAATAAATCATGTGATGCTTAAAGTTTTGATTGACAATGTGATTGGGTGGACAGTTTGTCGCGGATGGAGTGTTCTATGCCGAGCTGAATGAGGTGTTGACAAGGGAGCTAGCTGAGGATGGATACTCTGGAGTCGAAGTTAGGGTGACACCTATGCGTACTGAGATCATCATTAGGGCCACTCGAACTCAAAATGTTCTCGGTAATCTTAAAATTATTTAAGGTGTTTTAATTGCCCTTTTTCTGCCTTGCCTTGTAATGCTAATTTCAACCATATGATTCTCAGTTGAGTTTTAATGATCTGATTTCAGGTGAGAAAGGAAGAAGAATTAGAGAGCTGACATCTGTTGTTCAGAAACGGTTCAAGTTTCCAGAGAACAGTGTGGAACTCTATGCTGAGAAGGTTAACAACAGGGGTCTTTGTGCCATTGCTCAGGCAGAGTCCCTGCGTTACAAGCTCCTTGGAGGCCTTGCTGTTCGGAGGTTAGTGAACTAAATTTTATACCATTTTGTGTTTTATATGGTTGTCTCTACCATTGTTGTATATATTTACTATTATCGAGTGTAACAAGTTCAGATTCGCTTCTGATGTGAAAATTGCATTTTTCCAATTTTAATTTCCCTAGCAAGCTGTTGTTGTTTGGTTTTACAAGTTTCAGTGGTCTAAGTCATCTTTACAGCGAGTTGGTTGCCAAAAATAATACCTCTCTCGTGTCTGAGGATGACTATATTTGTTAATTCCATCTAATTTGGATAAGCCAAGGAAAGGTACTTTTATATATTCCTTGCAACACCAATTTTGGATGGTAAATTTCAACAAATGTCCCTATTTTTGCAACACAAATTTGTATATATTCCTTGCATTCTAATTTCATGCACAGCCTGTCTATCTTAGAAGAAAAGTTACTTGGAAGCATGTACTGTACCCTGCCATTGTTGTACTATTAATAATATTTAAGTTTTTTAGTACTGTACTTGCAAACCAGGTTCTAGTCTGTTAAAAATTTGTTTAAACATCATCTATGGCAATGTGCAATATGTGCTTGCCTACTGAACCAAGGCTTAACCATGACAAGTAGTTATCTCTATACATGAGTTTAATATGATTACAACTGAAGGCATGATTTCCTTTATTAATATTTTGGACTCTTTGGAACATTATTATTTGACTTCCATGATTGTAGGCCTGTTAGTTTTGGGGTGTATGTTGAGTTGAAGGGTTATGGGGAGTATGGTTGGCTTCTTGCTCCCTCTTGTAAGATCTTGGACCTTCTACTCTAGAATATCTTCATGCATCCTTGTGGATGCAGTGATGGTCTTTCTATATTTTGTGCAAAATGTCTGAATCAGTGTCTCAACCATCTGTCCAAACAGTCATTGATGTATTACTATTGTTTAGCCCCCTTTGCTTGCATGAAAGCTTTGGGGGTTTAATCAATGCCTAAATAAAAGATTTCTTGGAGTTTGTCAGGCCTCTTGTTATCTATTTAAGGTGCTTGGAGTTTGGAATATCCTCCTACATTCTGTATATTGCCGTTAGATTGAATGTGCACTAATTTTAGAAGATGGATGTATTTCTGCTGTGGCTAATTTTTATTTTTTTTCCTCATGTAGATCTAGAACAAGTTTGTTGTAGTTATGTTGTTGATCTAACTCTTACGAATGCTTTTGATACATGTGGACATTTGAACTTTCTGCATTAATGTATGTTAGCATTATTGTCTACCCCTTAAAAAAATAATCAAAGGGCATTGTGGGAGTTAAACTTTTTATTTTTTGATGTTTATAGGGCTTGCTATGGTGTTCTCAGATTTATCATGGAGAGTGGGGCCAAGGGATGTGAGGTAAGTCTATTAACTTTCTTCCTCCTTACTTCTCAGTGCTTGCAACCAAGCATATGCACATTGTAGTTATATTTTGTGAATATGCACTCAGGTCATTGTGAGTGGAAAGCTCCGTGCTCAGCGTGCTAAGTCTATGAAGTTCAAGGATGGCTACATGATCTCCTCTGGTCATCCTGTTAATGAATATATTGATTCTGCTGTTAGACACGTCCTTCTTAGGCAGGTCAGTTAAAATGCTTATTCAGTGTGGCTTTTTGTCTCTATAATTATCCAATAATGAGAGGTTTGGTTGGACTTTGAACTTAAGAGTTGTCAATTCTTGGTTTGTCACGCTTCATAATATATTTCCACATGTTTCACTCAATTTGATCGATCTGAGAGACTTGTCTTTGAAATGGTTTCAGGGTGTGCTTGGTATCAAAGTTAAAATCATGCTTGATTGGGATCCTAAGGGCAAGCAGGGCCCTATGACCCCACTGCCTGATCTTGTCACGATTCACCCTCCCAAGGATGAGGAAGAGTATAAACTCCCGGAAGAGTATCAAACTGCGGTTCCCCCAACCAATATCGAGATTCCAGTGGCTTAGGGACACATTGGGTTTGCCCCAAATAAGTTTTAATGTAGTATTTTGTGTTTTAAGGTTTTTACTCTTTAGAGCAGGACAATTACTAGATACCAGAATGAAATATGTTTTGCGGACTTGGCCTTTGTTCAGGTGAATTTTGTGTGCGTTTGCATATTATATTTTAATAGAATTTTGACTTCTTTTAGGTCTCTATGCATCCATACCTGATTAAATCGTAATCAGTATCTGATGAAAGCATTTCATGGGATAAATGGATTACTAATTTTGTTTTTAATCATCCAAAAAGAAAAAAATTGAAGGGTAGTCCAATTTTAAATGTCTGAGTACGTTACCATAAGGTGGCCAATGACAGGGTTACAAGTAAATCCGGATAATATGAGAAGAGTAGAAGAACCGGATGGCGTGATTGGAGACCAAAACATTGTATGGGAGTCCTGACCCAAGCAGAGAGAATGGTGATAAGGCTTAGGCAGTTCATGGCAAGGGCCGGCAACGGTGGCAGAGAGCCCGTTCTAGATTCAGACAAGGGTGAGGAGCTTGTTCACGTCCAACCTTCCAGTCCCCATCGCACTCGGCAAGTGGTTTGGGCGAGTGATGCGGACAGTGCAAAATGGCAAAGCCGTTGGTTTCAAGGGATCCAGAGGCCTGCCCTCCTCAGTGTAATCACACTGAGATTGAAACTGAACCTGATGGACTTAGATTCAGAATGTAATGAGGTTTTAGATTTAGCCAAGTGGATACTCTGTTTTCTGTTGGGCTAAATCCGGGGCCTATTGAAGCTTCAAGTCGCCGATCAACGCTTTGAGGGTGCAGAAGACATGGAACAAGTTAGTGATACTGTTAGTAGTCATCATCATCAGTGAGCTACCATGTGACTGTTGCCGTGCAGGAAATTCAACATGTGGCGAGACTGAGTGAACTGAATGCATGTGTTGCTTTTAACTGATTTTGCCCCATATCCAAACGTTATTGTATGCATGTACTTAATCACTCGGAACAAATTGGCATTCTTTTCTTTTCAGAAACCTGCATTGTAAAATTAATTATTTTGTTCCTGTTCTTCATTGTCATTTGTTGTATATACTAAATAGCGATTAATATGGGAAGTTTGCCATTGATAGACCTATCATCGTCGACTAATGGTTTAACTATGTTGGACATCTTGGTTTTCTAAGTAAAGAAAACTTCAATGTAAGTTAGGGAGTGTACTCAAAGCTAAAGAGATATTAAGGAGACGGCGAGAGGTATGATTTAGAACTCACGTGTGTTGCGGATAATCATGAAAATAAGGATATCTGCAAAGTCAGAGACAACAAGCATTTGTGGGTATTCATTCTCAACATACGTTATTATTGTCCCAAACACTCACCGTCTTCTCTTGTCAAACGATTGTTTGACCACGTCTCCTTTGAATACTTGTAAACTGCAATCCCCTTTTATACTGAACTGAAATTTACAGCTTCAACTGGGCCTCCTCCCATCTTCAACATTGCAGCCGTTGCTACTTAATTAGCTGCAATGCAATGTTATTAGCTATAATTTCAAAATTTCAATGTAAATAAAATGATTAAATGATAAATTTTACAGTCGATAATCTTATAACAGGTGAAAATAAATGACATATTAATACGATAAATGACAGTCTTTGTCATTTTATTTTATTTTATTTTTTCTGTCGGGTTTTCTATTCAATCAAACATGAGCAAAAATCTCTGTTAAAGAAAAAGAACATGACCAAAAATCAAACCCTTGCCTGTTTTAATTAATTGCCACCCACCACCTTCCAATTGTCTCTCTCATATCAAGTTAACGGACGCTTAGTGGCTTATACTGAATTCAATGAATACAGCCGAGTTCCTGCCAAATGTAATAGATAAATGAATAAAGAATGTAGTAAGGAAATGGTTGGCAGGGAATTCCGGATTCATCACTGTCTACCCCCAATTCAGTATGATTATGAATGATCATAGAGCACATGTGACATTACACATTGCGCCACTTGGGGGTGTCGTAGGAACATCAAATTAAAGCTTGAGAATCGAAACTAATCTTATCACGTTTTGACATCATTTTTAAGGTCACATTCAATTCAAGCACTAACTGCACGTGTACAAGACAAATTGACGGCATCCCTCTCAACACGTCTCCACTTTTGCAAGACACAATCAATCTTGAGGAAAGATATAAGTGGGACATGAGTTGTCCCCAGCTCCCACCCCTCCTCCCTCTTCCTTTGCTTCTCCCAAAGTTTCATTACTTGGCAAAATTTTCTTTTCATATAGGAATGGAAAAATGAATGCATGATATATAGTGGGCAGCAGCACCACCAGCACCACCAAGCACGCCCGCCACCATGCGTAATCTCCACTTACCTATGATCCATTGCCTCTCTCTGTATTCCCCTAAGAAAGAAAGACAAGGCACTCCCAAATTCATCTACTTGGCAATCATCATTTGTCCTTCCAAATTAAATAAGCTCGGATATCATCAATTAATGCATAAACGTTTGACCCCTTTCTTTTTTTCTCAAGAAAACGATGGTAGGAAAAGGTATATTTCCAAGGGTTTTGACTGAGCGATAGAGAGAAAGAAAGACGAGGGTGATCTTGTTCGATTATTAAACCGTTGACTTGATGATGGAGATATATATATATATATATATATATCTATACACACTAGAGAAAGGTAGGCTTAACCTTTTCAAATAGTTGCAAAACGATTGTGACTTGTGAGCCGCCCTTGCAATGAACAATGAACTTAAAACAGGGAGTTCATTCTTTATAAAATAAAAATAGTATGTTGCACCCTTGTCTCCCCATTACAAGGAAGAAAGGCTGCAAACCTAAGTGTAGCACTTCGCCACTTCCTTCGGGTGCTCCAATGTCCCTTTCCTTGACCATTATGCCCCCCCTCTCAAATCCACCAATAATTTCTTAGGTTATTATCCAAATTACAATTCAATTGTATTCAAGTTGCAAACGGGAGATTTTAATCAATCTTATACGATCAAATATAGTTTTTCATATAAATTCTAATACCCAAGATTTAGAAATTGTAAAAAGTACGTGCAATAGTCATTTGTCTCAAGCTTGTAAGTTTCATTTTGGGTTTATTATTATCATAAGTAGGTTTCTTTTAGATTATCATTTAGTTGCCATACTCTAAATGTTAGTCATATTGACATATATTTTGTCATTAGAAATCGATTTTGCACTGTATCACAAGTTTTAGAATAGTGTTTTTTATTTTGTTCAATGTTATCATCTTGTTGTTAGTAGTATACTTTTGATCCATTATCACCAAGGTTAATTTTGGCTTTACTATTTCTAACCTATGTTATTGAGGTTAAGGGTGTCCATAACATGTTGTAGGAGAATTATGAAATTTATGATTTGGTGAAATTTTGTTTATTCATGTTATATGAGAATATGATTTTGAAGTAAATATATTTATGAATATAAGATTACTCAATTTTGCTTTTGAATCATTATTATTGATAACTTTGGTCTAAATATTTTGAAAGCATGCTTGTCTCCATTTGAGAGATCGGTTAGAGCCTGTGTTAGCTAGGTTATCATGTGCCGTTAGACTTTTATAAGCTTTGGTGTGAGTATTTTGATATTGATATTTTGTATCTTTTGGATATTTGTAAAATGCTATTTAAGAGACTTGAATTCTTGTATAGTGTATTATTTAGAGATATTTGAGATTTGTTTAAAATATCTATTGCCTTAAATGTTTATGAGATTTTAATATATAGTATTATGATGTTCTAAACTTTTGATTGAGACACGACAGTATAAGTCAATATTTTTTATAAGACATGTTGCTAACAATACTTATCCTTTTAGGATATCGTTATCATAAAGGCAATATTGAATTTAATTTCACAAATTTCATTTTTATAAGTACATTCTTTGTCAAGATTAATTGAAAACCAAATTAAGTCAACTCCAAGGGCATGGAAGCAAATAACAAGTACTTCAATATCCAGCCCTCTACAAGCTGTTGTAAGGAAGAACAATCTTAAGCTATATGATGTAAACTTGGTATCAGTTCACTAGAGGTAATTAGTTGTAAGAAATATTTATATAAAATCAGTATTACTTTGTTAGTTGCCACATTTGCCTACATCACACGAAAACAATATCCACGAGCATAGCTTATCAAAAAGAAGTATAAAAAGGGACATGAATAGTGTTTTTGGTAGTAATAACCAATGCTAAATGAATGATGAAAAGCAGGCCACTAGAGATTAAAAGAAAAGAATGAAATCTTTACTTGTGGCATTATGGCATAGAAGACAGATAAATGGGTCATTTTGAAATGTAACAAAAGAGCAACACAATCTCCACAAAGGCATGGGGGGGATATGATGGGGAGAGGACACAACATTGGAGTGGGATTTCCACACAAAAAGAAATACTTTTTTATTTTCCCCCCTTCGAAGTGGAGTCACCCCACGCTCAACAATGTCCTCATCTCCCACAGCACAAACATCCTTGCTTCCATGGGAACCCAAATTACTCTCTATTGCATGGGTCCCAGCTGCCCCTCATTCTTCTTCTTTGGTAGGCTTTGTCAGTAGTTGGATATGGATTGTACTCCCCACTTTGCCACAACAATCCCTCTTGTGGGCAGTGAAATTGAATGCCAA